TTTGAATTTGATTGATATGTACTATATATATATGTATATATATATATATATATATACACACACACACACTTTTATAAATGTTTGTTTATTTGAATAATTTTTTTAATATGTCTATGTTGTTTTAATACATTTTTCAGTTTTAGTAATGTTATTACTGCAACTTAAACTTAAGTTAGTTCAACATTTTTTTTTGTTTTGTTTGTTTTTCATCTAATATTTATATTTAATTTTATTTCGGCTTTATTTCAGGTACCAAAAATAATTTGTATAGTTTTATCTTTTGTTTTAGTTAACAATAACAATAATGGTATGGACTGTCACACTTACCAATGTTGTTTATGTCAACAACCTATATATTTGGCAATTATTTATTCTCATCTTTTAATTATATTTTTTGCCTTTATACTAATGACAGCACTCATTAATCAACAAATAAAACTGTAAATGAAACTGTTAGCCATAAAGACACATTTTCATCCGCTGTCCGTCCAGTTCTTAAGCAGCAAACTAAATTAAAAAAAAAATCATAAATATAACAAAGATTTTGAACAAAAAGATCTGTGACTTCCTTCTAGAAATGAAAAATAAAATCACCTTGAACTGACATTATTTTTGCAAAGAAATTATTTTAAATTGTAATTTATTAATGCTGTTAATTGGTTTTGTACTTTTTTATATGATGTAGTATATTATGTATTATAGTATAATATAAAAAAAAGGATCAAATGTGATTTATTTTAAAATGATTAATTTCATGATTTATTTATTTATTTAATCAAAATGATTTATTTATTTTATTACTTTTTTATTATATTGATTTATCACACTGACATTGATTTTATTTATATAATCTGTTGTCTTTGGCCAGGCAACCTAAATGTAAAAAATAATCAAATAATTGTTACAAATCTCTTTCCCACAGAGTACATTAACCAGGATGTAACCACAAGAAGCAATATGATAAACCCAAACTACGAGGGTCCGGCCCGTGGACAGACAGAAAACAGATATATAGACACGTACGGATGTAAACCTGACGGGCCGGAGTACCTAAACACCTCCTGCGCTACTCTACCACGCTCCCCATGCGCCAACCACGATAACCCAGACTACCAGCAGAACTTCCTGCCCTCGTCCACCGCTGATGTTCCTTTCCTCCCCGCGGCGGAGAACTTACACTACCTGGGGCTCAGCACAGCCATGCAGTCTCACATACGTTAGATCAACGGTAGGAAAGTATCAGTTGCACTGCTTGAACTTCTGGGAGTCGCACACGACACGTGTTAGTATTGTAGCTATGTTAAGAACAGTGCGGACGTCAGGTCCAGATATGCTTGAAGGCGACAGCCGTAATTATCTTGTTCTTAAAGGGGGTGTGGTTGTGAGACACGAAGCTGTGAGTAATGTGTTGAATGTCAAGCTAGAGCACATTTCGGTATTTCTGTATAATATGGGTAATAGTTAATGCTTTTGATGAATGTTGTCATCGGATGTAGCTTAATTTATTGAACCAAAACATAATTGAGCTATTAATACTTCATATAGTTAAGCTGTCATCATGTTAACACTGATTTAGTAATTAACCTTGGATAGTATTTGTAAACCTCTGAAAATGGTCACTTAGAAAAGTCAACATTAAACGGCATTCACAACCCATGTTACTTCTGCGATATACAGCGTTCAAAACGTTTACGGTTAGTATGTATTAATTATTATTCTAAATTAATATTTATTATGTTAATTGCAACTTTTTCTCTCACACTTTGGACTTTTTTTCCTCCTAATTCTGAGTTTGTATCTCGTGTTGTAGACTTTTTCTTGCACTTTTTTGTTTTCTCAGAATTGTGAGGCTATAAACTCTCAAACAATTCCAAGTTTACATCTTGCATTTCTGACTTTTCTCTAAATTCTGGGTTTACATCTCACTTTTTTTTTTTTTTTTGATAATAATTGGAAATGTTTCTTGAGCAGCAAATTAGCATATTAGATTGATTTCTGAAGGATCATATGACACTGAAGACTGGAGTAATAATGCTGAAAATTCAGCTTTGCATCATAGGAATAAATTACAGTTTAAAATATTTTAAAATAGTAAACCATTATTTTAAATTGCAATAATATTTCACAATATTACTGTATTGTTAATCAAATAAATGCAGCCTTAGCGAGCATAAGAGAATTAATTCGAAAACATTAAAATAATCTTACCGACCCCAAACTTTTGAACAGTAGTGTAATTCGGAATGAAATAGGATATTCAAGAAAATCATTTTATTGTTACATACCAGAATAGAGAAGGCTGGAAGGGAGGAACTCATGATGACTGAAAAGGAAAAGGTTGCAGCTACAGTATCGGCTGAAAAGTAACGTTATTTTAGAGACATAGCAGGTTATCACATTTTGATAAAAGATTACTTACTGGAATAAGGTGCACCAATGATTCGTGCGCATTATTGCGAAGAATGTGCATTAAGAATGTAAATAATACAAATATTCTATTCAAATATTCAAGCACAGTGTGAAAATCTCTCCTCTGTACCAGAATAACTGCTTGAGTAACACCAGAAATGTTTGTAAATATAATAATGTTCACTGTCAACATGAATTTTATTATGTCCACGACACCTAAAATTCACCAACACAATGTAAATGTACATAAAAGCTACCTGCGGTTATACAAACACTGACTTTTAACCCTGGACTGCAGTTAATGGACCCACTAATTAATTTTTCAAGTGACCGTCCACATTTGGTTTTAATCATTTAACAACTGTTGTATTAATTGAAAGAAACACTGTTGGGCTAAAAGGCTTTCTGATGTTAAAAGGTTCTTATAACACTTTTTCATTCTGTTTTAAATGGCCGAGTTAACAAATCAGACTGCTTGATTTCTGTCTGACACATTCACCCAAGTGTGCACATATCACACAATCTACTTCTAAACTTCAGGTAAAAACAGGCCATTATGATATTTGAACTCTACAGGATCCCATTAATACTGAATTAAGTGTTACTTAAAATTTGTTGGCCACATCCACTTCATTGCCCAAAAATGTTGAATATAGTCAGAAAGACGTCTTAAAATGTAAGTTTGACTGTGAAACCTGTTCTACTTCACTGAGAGACATCCATATTTACTGCACAGACATCCATATTTAGTACAGTATGTAAATGTACTTCATGTAGCACAATCCTCCTGAGATCTACTGTATTATGCACCTGTGAATGTCAGTTTTAGGATTTTTAGATTTAAAATGTGATTTAAATCTGTATGGACACTTTGTTACATTGCAGTGTTAATAAATTGTGTTGAAATGTGAAAATGAAGTCTTTTATGTGAATAAAGGTCTTTTATGTGAATTAAAACATCAGTGATGCACGATGGACCCTTTTCACAGACTGTGATGACGCATTTCCAGAATTATTAACATCAAGCAAAGTTTTTTATGATTTCATTTTTTTTAAATTTAGTGTACATTATAACACAATACTTATTTCTTCCTTACCTTAGCATTAAATTACTCAAAACTAGTTACGACTGCTATGTGAGTGTTTCTAATACGCCGGCTGAGGATATAAATGATATTGTGGATTTGTCTTTTGCAAACTTTGTCATTACCATTCACCACTATAGAAATTTACCAAACTATGATGACTTCAGCTTCTGAAATCCCCGGAAATGTGAAAAAGGGTCCATTGCCAGAAGTCATCCATTTAGACAGAAAGCATAGGAGTAATTCTGTAATTTAGGGTACATTTCTTACCACGAAAAAAAAAATAGATAAAACAATATGCTTTTTCAATAAAACAACTTCGTTTCAGTTGATATATTTCATCAGTGTAACTTATATGCTAGTAGCCAAGCTTATTAATTTTGATATAAAGAAAAATATATATATATTTTTTTTTAGATTGTCAACTATGTTACAGACAATCTGTATGGGTTGACAATTTCACCATTTTGACTCATAATTATGAATGGCACTACTTGTCTGGACAACCAAATATTATTTCCTTGATCAGGTTGATCTCAAATTATATTTATTTGCATAAAAATCATTAAAATAGTACAAACCATAACAATGTACCCAATGCTCAATTAATATACTCCTTGACAATAAGTCATTGGAGATCATATATAGAAAAAATTAAGATAACGTTTACCATAATGTGTTCAAAACGTCCACTGCAGAAGAAGGTGACGTCACATGATGCAGGTCACATCGTTTTATGGTGAACCATATTTTACTTTTCAAGGGGGTGTTTGGTTAACAACATAGATGACAGAATTTTTAAGGACATGAGAGAAATGAAATATTTTCTTATTTGAAAGAAAATGAAATTTAAACTCGGTTTGTTTTTTAAGGTATTTAGACTGTAGATAATATAGATAATCTATATAGATAAAGGATCATAAAGGCAATTTCAAGCAAACCGAAAAACAGGTTGCACAAAATAAGTGTATTCTCTTAATGGATAAAATATATTTCTAAGGAAAACTGGGTAGCACTTTAGTATAGGGAGCAATTCTCACTATTAACTAGTTGCTTATTAGCATGCCTATTATTAACATATTGGCTGTTTATTAGTACTTATAAAGCACATATTCTGTATGACCATATTCTACATCCCTAATCCTACCCAATACCTAAATTTAACAACTACCTTACTAACTATTAATAAGTAGAAAATTAACAGTTTGAGGCAAAAGTTAGAGAATCGGACCTTAAAACTGTTAGAAAAAACATAATGAAATGCACCCTAAATTACAGAATGACCCATAGGTAACACATAAGTTACAGGCAGCACAGATAAGCATCTAATGACCAATCCCAGAAATCTGTGGGTTATCATCACGCCAAAAATGATGAACCTAAAACAATCGCCTTGACTTGTTCCAGTGCTTGGCCCTCTCTTTTTTGTAAAGAATCTCACAAAGCATATTACATATATGTACATATTATATTTATTATATATACACTGTAAAAGCTTTTTAAAATATATGCATGATCAGCATTCATACATACAGACCATTTAGTTAAGCACTCTTTTGCAATGTGGCGATATTAGTAATTCTCCATTCAAACACCGATCTGTTACTGCTTTATCCCGCTAAAACCATCTGAACTTCATGGCAAACATGCATACAAGATGGTAAAGTGTCTCTTTCAAGTCTCTTGTAACACTAGACTCTCTCTAGAGTTCGTGTGAGCTTCATTTGGTTTTCATTTTGCTCAACGCAATACCGTTTCCTCCTGGTTAAACCATCGTTCCAGCTGCTACTGTAGTCTTTCATGCCGTGGCTTGTTTCATCAAAGCGTTCTCTCCAAACACTTGCTTAAAGTAGGCCACATGCTCCTCACAGTGCTCTCCTGAAACAGGAAGATGATATCAGAGGAGGTCCACTCATGTGCAGATGTTTCTGCTCCAATCAACGAGAATGAAGTATATCTCTACACCCTGGTTTGTTTGATTTAGATGCTCAGCCCATTTCGTGAACACAAACTCCATTTCATTCGTCAAAATCACTTACCTTGGTTGAAACCAGGATTACCACGCAACCGCATATTCCTCTGCTCGAAGAAGCGGAAGATGGTGTAGAACAACATTGTGTCGTCTGTTTGCCGTGCGGCATCCAGAAACTTCCGCGCGGAGACGTTATCGTGGGCGCCGACGCTTCGAATGAAACGCAGAGCGCCTAAAACCTGCTGCTTGGACAGAAGAACCTCCACGATCTCATCATTAGCGGTGGAGAGCCTCTGAAAAACACACGCATGGATCACTCGAGATCAGCAGTTAAAGGCAAAATGAAGCTTAAAGTGCCCCTATTATAGGTTATGAAAGGTTCATATTTTGGTTTTGGGAGTCCCCAACAACAGGTTGACATGCATGCAAGGTCAAAAAACACTTTCATTGTCTTATAATATGCATTTATTTTTACCTTATTTGCTCAACGACTCCCAAACAATTCGCTCAACGATTTATTTTTCCAAACCCCTCCTTTGCGTGACGCTAATCTGCGGTGATTGGTCCGATTGGTCTCATTTTCATTTCATCATGCCTGTAATGCCTGATAAAGCAGCGTTTGTGAGCGCAGTGCTGCTTTGTGTACAGCGTTACCAGGGAAACAGTTATTTTTACCGCTCCAAAAGCGACACCTTGTGGCAAAGAATGAATTTGCATTTTCATTCAGACCAACGCGAAAAGACCAACAAGTGGGCTGGCAATTTGCTAATGGTTCATGTTGACGTCAACATGAAACGGCTTGGGATTCGTTTTAAAAATGACTCGTTTGAGTGATTCAGAGTCGACTCTTTCTTTTGAGAGACAATAACTTTATATACAGTGCACTTTCAGATTTATAACTTTGCAGGATGTTTTCATTTACTTAGAGCTGTGTTACACACTGCATGAAAGGTAATTTTCAAAAATCCATAATAGGGGCACTTTAAATCATCTGCACTGAACATGCAAGAGCTTTTCATACCTTCAGCATGTCCAGAGAGAGCTGGTGAGCAGGTGGATACGTGCTCTCCAGAGACAGCAGCAAACAAGCCTAGAAGCACAAAAAACACAGTGGAGTCAGCCACATCAAGAAGTTCTTATTGAAGCAAAGCTTCATAGATTTTTACAGACAAGAGGAATGTACATAAATGAATGTTCTAGTTTAAGAAATTGAGTTACAATAACTGTAAAGCTCACCAGTGGTTTGGAGTCGCTGAGGACGTGATACTGAAGAAACTGGTGCAGCATGTAGAAGAGGTTGTGCTGGACCAGAGTTTTGATGACTAGCTCATACAAATAGTGCTGGAAAGATCAGAACAACGATGAGAAGAGTCACTGTATACTACATACAACACAACTTTGACAGCTATGCAGTTTGACACGATTATGATTCTTTAGTAAATAATGCAAATGTAACATTCAATACTCAAACCCAACTTTTTAAAAAGAAAAGAAAACAAGCATTTTTAAAGGTTTATATATGTAAATATAAAACATTTTATTTATGAATTCTAAGCCTTATTATACCATATTAGTTATAAACTTAATATTACTTATCAAAATATAATTGCTCACATGTAACGCATTTTGGCAGGAACCTCTTATTTTAGTATTATTTATATACAATCATAGTATTTTTTATTTTTTAAATTGGCTTTTTTTTTACATTTTCAGTTTTCATTTTAATATTAGTTTGAAGTTTCAGTAATTTTCTAATATGCTTTCGTCATTGTCACTAGTTTCTGTTTTTTATCTTTATTTATATTTTAGTTTTAATATTTTTTGTACTTCAGCATCAAATTAATTTCAGTTAGCTGCCAATACTACATGTTTAATGGTCATTTAAGTTTTTCATCTAATATTTATATTTATTTTATTTCAGCTTCATTTCAATGAATGAACTTTTTTTAAATTGTTTTAGTTTTAGTTAACAATAACAACACTGGGCAGTGATTCCCAATTTATCTTAACTGAACCCTTTTGACTAAAAATATTTGGTTGTAAAATATTTACTTGTATATACTTACATATTTCAATAATTTAACAACACATTAGCATGTTCATGGTTCTCTGATGTTGGTTAATGGTCATGCAAGATGCAAGTAAACAAATACAATATTTCATATTTTTTGTACATTTTCTATTTTTGTTTTAAAACTATTTATTTATTGCAATGTTTTTATTGTAATGGGAAGATCAGATCATTTGACTAACACTCGTTTGATCTGGTTCATCAAAATGAACTAATCTTTATTCAAGTCATTTTGTTCTTTTGAGTGGCTTAAAATGAACAATTTTTAACAGCCAGATTTCACAAACTCATCCAGGGTTTGTAAATTAGGCTTTGTAAAATTAACTAGATCACCGTTTGTAGATCTGACTAGACCTTCATATATTTATAAAAAGTTTGTCCCATTGCACTCTCTCCATTTTCCCCCCACTGTCCTACAAATAAAGTTAAAAAAGCTCATAAACAAAGTTTGCTGCCTTAAATCAAGTTCAGTCATAACTGCACTGAAACCCACATTGTTCCAAGAGGGCTGAACCTGCCTAGCAAAACACCCAACAAGCCCCAACACCTGGGTCAGGTGAAGGTGAAACTGGGATACAATTTACAGTTACACCAGAGCTTACCATTGGAGTGAATGGTTCAGACATTAAAGATCCTTTCAAAAGACTTTCAGCTTGTACTCTGACTTAGAATGTAGCTAAGACTTCCTGATTGCTCAAATGGACAAAAGATAACAGGCAGGGTTGCACGATAAATCGCATGCGATATTTAATGCGCATCTTGTCAGTAAAGCCAGTTCTGTAATCAGCGGTAAATCTCCATCGTGCGTGCTTTCACACTGAGCAGCATTAACTACACAGAGCCGTTGTTCACAGTCAAGCTGCGCAAAACAAAATATGATCGTGGTTTTGCGCAGCTTGTCTGTGAACAACGGCTCTGTGTAGTAAATGCTGCTCAATGTGAAAGACCGCAGGTGATGGAGATTTACCGCTGATTACAGAACTGGCTTTACTGACAAGATGCGCGTTAAATATCGCATGCGATTTATCGTGCAGCCCTAATCACAGGTAAAAAAAAAAAAAAGGAATAATTCACCCAAAAATTTATATTTCTGGAAAATGTACTCACCCTCAGGTCATCAAAGATGAAGATGAGTTTGTTTCTTCATCAGAACAGATTTGGAGAAATGTAGCATTACATCACTCACCAATGGATCCTCTGCAGTGAATGGGTGCCGTCAGGATGAGAGTCCAAACAGCTGATAAAAACATCACAATAATCCACACCACTCCAGTCCATCAATTAACGTTTTGTGAAGTGAAAAGCTGCATGTTTGTAAAAAAACAAATCCAGTATAAAAGGTTCCTCATCTGAATCAGGAGAGAAATTTGCACAGATCAAGCACTATTTATAAGCGAAAACAGTTCTAAACAAATATGTTGATGGATTTTGATGTTAGAGAACAACAGGGGATGGACTTTTTCACTGGAGGAAGCATTATTATGGATTATGGACGGTTTCAAGTTAAAACATCTTAATGACGGATTTGTTTCTTACGAACACACAGTTTTCGCTTCACAAGAGATTAACTCGCGGACTGGAGTGGTGTGAATTGCTTGTGGATTATTGTGATGTTTTTATCAGCTGTTTGGACTCTCATTCTGACGGCACCCATTCACTGCAGAGGATCCACTGGTGAGCAAGTGATGTAATGCTACATTTCTCCAAATCTGAAATCTGATGACTCATCTACATCTTGGATGGCCTGAGGATGAGTACATTTTCCAGAAATATTCATTTTTGATTTTTGAGTTCCTTTAAAGACCTCATTGTGTTTAGTTTATACCTGAACGGGGATCTGAAACTGGTTAAGAGAACGAATGTACTCCATGAGAACTGCAATGATGAACTTATGCTTCACTCCCTGTTCAAAGACGACAATTTACAGCATTAGAATAAGAAATGTCCATTAGGCAGAAATATTTGAGACTTGCAGAACAGAGGAAAAAATGCATACGTTTAAATAAAGCAATTGCATCCTGTAAAGAAATACAATGCTTGTTTACCTTCTTCTCAGTGAAGTCAGACAGCACGTGTGTGTACATGTCTGACTGGTCTATCACCGCCTGTGTTCGGACGGGCCTTTTATAAGAAGTGCTGGAGCGACTGGGGCCTGATTCCATAGCCTTGAGGACGGAGAGAGAAAAACATAAAATATAAACATTTCTACAAATACCACATTCATATATAGAAAATACAGTGTAATAAACAATCTGTACCAACCGCAGTATACACTTGCTCTGCATCCAGGTACTCTTTGTACACTTGGTTGAGTTTATCAAACACTGTGGCCACCACAGACAGATTCCCTTTATCTCCTTCAGTAAGCACTGAAGAACAAGACATTCATTCAATAAACATTAACCTAATATCTAATATATTACAAACATCATATCTTACTTAACAGGCATTTTCCTTTGTAGATAACTTTTGAATTGCTTTGCAGAGTTATTTTATAAAGCATTTTCATTATAGAGCTCTCTGCTGCTTACTTTGCGAGCATACAGACAAGATGACCATTTTGCAGTCTAGTCTCCGCAACAGGAAGTCCATGAGTTTGCCTTTATCCTGTAGGAGATTCAGTGTGGGCTGGAGCTTCACCTGGAGGTACCAGAGATATCCTGACAGAGAACAATATAAATCACTCTCCGTCACGCCAGATTTTATTTCATTTGTGCATTGTTTAGTAAAGTACCTTCGCTGGCACTGATGATGATATCCGGTTGGAAAACACTCCAGGAAGAGGAGTCTTGAATGTAAAGGAAAACTTTGAGAAGGGCAAGTACATATGGTATATTTCACATATGAATATAAGTTCATCTGTAAGGATACAAAGTTCACAAGGCACAGGGGCCTGACTTGGAGCGGCCGCAGGTCCTGTAAGGGTGTGGAAAGAAAGATTATGTTCCTTACATTCTCAGAGAAGCATTATATAAAAAGAAGCCAAAACAGGTATGTAGAAACTTGCAATATTGGTATAGTTTATCGTCAAAAGTGTGGTGTTGCTTTCGAAATGAATTACATGTCACCTGTGAGATGGATCTTGTAGGGGTTGATGGATTGGGCAGGAAGCACAGGCTGATGCACATTTAATGCACCATCTAATTCCCTCAGTTTTATATCATAAATGAGTGAAGACTGAAATACAATAAGACAAGCATTTCAAACAAGGTACAGAGCAGATCAGACCTTTATTTTAAGCAGGTTTGCTGATAAGATTAAATCATACTTTTACATATTTATTAGGGATGCACTTTATTGGTACAATACTGTCTGGATATACATTTTAGAGATTATTATATATATATATTTTTTATTTATCTGTATTGGTAGGTTTTTCATATTTATTTCTGCATGCTCATTCCCCCTAATTTTACATGTGGATTACATCTGACTTCATTTACATTCACTTTAAGTTAATCTTTAAAAACACTAATAATTGAAAAACATTGTTAAATGTAATCTTCATCAAATCTCAAAATGAATATTTGTTTTTTATACAGTACTTTATAATGCTGCGATGCCTAAATGCATTTGAATTATTTAAATTACGTTTTTTAATTCATTCAGACAAAATAATGATTGATATCAACTTGAATTTTAATATCAGCGCACCCATAATATTTAAAATAAAATAATACAATAAAATAATGCGAATGCCAGAGGACTAGCAAAGCAGATTGTTAATGACTAGCTCATTATGTACATCATAATCAACTCCACGAATGTGTTAATATCATGTGATTAACAGATTGAACACTTGTCAAACTCACCTGTGAGCTCTGATGGTGCACCACAACTAGATTATCCACCACGTTCAGGGCAAACTTACCCGTGGTGTTTAGTTTGAGCACATGAGTCTTCCTACACGTGCCTTCTCTACAGTTAAAAGAAAGGTAAAGAAAAACAAAAATGCTCAAAAATAGAGCAGAATGCTTTTATTGGACAGTAAGTTATCTATTATACCTGGGCAGGTGATAGAGGACCACCTCTGCTCCAGGACTGTTGGTGGTTCTGGAGTGATGCTTCAGATACATCACATAGAGCTGATCATAACTACAGTCCAGAGAGAGAGTGTGACTGCTGGGCTTCACAGTTGCTTTTTCACACATTATTGCAATATATTTCATAAACTATTAACCGACATATCATTTGCAGAATAACATTTGTTCAGAGTTAGATGTCTAGTGTTGGCTCAGGTGTTCATACACACGTCTTACATTGTAGCCACAGCGATGTCACGTTCAGAGAGGCTGAGTTTGGCTGGTTTGGGCACCGCTGGCAGTTCAATCTCAAACTTGGACATCTTTGACATGGTCACGCTCTAGAGAAAATAATGTTAAGATTAGAGCAGTATGTTTTAAGATTTAACAACCTAATATCAGAGTTACTGTTGCCCTCTTGTGGTTTAAGTCTGCAGATGCAAAACTCCTGCATGCTTTCAATCAACATTAAAGAATAAGACACCAAACTCACCTTGAAAGCAAATGGCTGTAGCACATTACCCTGTACAGTGGTGGAAAGGAGAAGAACGGCAGTCTCTGGGCAATACATGTACCAGTTCACATTGATGCTCTGGCTCTTTAAGAGCTTCAGGGTTCGTTTATCAGGCAGCACCTGCAAAACAAGGATTCTGCTTACCTTTGGCAGAAAGAATGACTTGTTTTGTTGAAGAAAAAAAAAATCAGTTTACTGAACTGATGTAAGGGTGTCACCTCACCTGATAGAATTCTATTCCCTGGTCAGTGACGAATACAATCTCGTTCCAGTTGGTCCAACAAAACCCGAGAATACTGGCATTCTTTGTCTGCAAAAAATTAATAAATAAAAGTTTAGGGTCAGTAAGATTTTTCAATGTAATTCATTCCTGTGATGCAAAGCTGAATTTTCAGCATCATTACTCCAATCTTCAGTCTCACATGATCCTTCAGAAATCATTCTAATATGATGCTAAAGAAACATTTATTATTATCATTATGTTGAAAACAGTTGCTTAATAGTTTTGTGGAAAGCATGATTCATTTTTTTCAGGATTCCTTGATAAATAGGAAGCTCAAAAGAACACCAATCATTTGAAATATAGATTTATAGAAATCTTTTGTAACATTATTAATTTTTTTTACTGTCACTTTTGACCAATTTAATGCATTCTTGCTGAATAAAATCTTACTGCCCCCAAACTTTTGAATAATATTTCATGGATTTTTTGATAAATAGAAAACAATGCATCCTTGCTGAATAAAATTGTTTTTATTCTTAGTGAATAAAATCTTACTGCCCCCAAACGTTTGAATAATAGTTTATACATGCATACATAAACTAATTATTTAATTAATTATAGTCAATCTCTGTTTGTTTAGGGATGTACCTTGCACTCATGGGAAAATTCCAAGTGTGGATAGTCAGGAATGAAATTTGTAAAATCCTAAAAAAAGAGAAAGAAAGAAAGAAATTCACTTAAAGGGAACCTGTGTGCAACAACTGCATTTATTGCGACAGCAATCATCAATGATACTTACAACTGATTTTGTAGTGCGCTGCACAGCTAAGATTTTGTTCCCCAATGAGAATTTGATACACTTCACCTCTCCTTTGTCATCCATTCTGTCAAACGAAACACAGTTTAAGGATGTTTGCCAGTGCTGTTATTGTTAACTAAAACGAAAAGAAAAAAAATAATTTTAAAGCATTTTCAGTCATTTAAATAAAGCTGACATGAAATACAAATATTAGATGAAAACCTTAAACTTAAAAAACCTAAACATTTGAAATAAACGATTTTTATTTCAAGAATTTAATTTAAATAAAAGTTAAACTTAAATGACCAAAACTAAAATTGAAATAAAAATAAATTGAACCTAAGATATAAATTAAAAATAATAATGGGATGGACTTTTTCACTGGAGGAAGCATTATTATGGATTATGGACGGTTTCAAGTTAAAACATCTTAATGACGGATTTGTTTCTTACGAACACACAGTTTTCGCTTCACAAGAGATTAACTCGCGGACTGGAGTGGTGTGAATTGCTTGTGGATTATTGTGATGTTTTTATCAGCTGTTTGGACTCTCATTCTGACGGCACCCATTCACTGCAGAGGATCCACTGGTGAGCAAGTGATGTAATGCTACATTTCTCCAAATCTGATGAAGAAACACTCATCTACATCTTGGATGGCCTGAGGATGAGTACATTTTCCAGAAATATTCATTTTTGGGTGAACTATTCCTTTAAAGACCTCATTGTGTTTAGTTTATACCTGAACGGGGATCTGAAACTGGTTAAGAGAACGAATGTACTCCATGAGAACTGCAATGATGAACTTATGCTTCACTCCCTGTTCAAAGACGACAATTTACAGCATTAGAATAAGAAATGTCCATTAGGCAGAAATATTTGAGACTTGCAGAACAGAGGAAAAAATGCATACGTTTAAATAAAGCAATTGCATCCTGTAAAGAAATACAATGCTTGTTTACCTTCTTCTCAGTGAAGTCAGACAGCACGTGTGTGTACATGTCTGACTGGTCTATCACCGCCTGTGTTCGGACGGGCCTTTTATAAGAAGTGCTGGAGCGACTGGGGCCTGATTCCATAGCCTTGAGGACGGAGAGAGAAAAACATAAAATATAAACATTTCTACAAATACCACATTCATATATAGAAAATACAGTGTAATAAACAATCTGTACCAACCGCAGTATACACTTGCTCTGCATCCAGGTACTCTTTGTACACTTGGTTGAGTTTATCAAACACTGTGGCCACCACAGACAGATTCCCTTTATCTCCTTCAGTAAGCACTGAAGAACAAGACATTCATTCAATAAACATTAACCTAATATCTAATATATTACAAACATCATATCTTACTTAACAGGCATTTTCCTTTGTAGATAACTTTTGAATTGCTTTGCAGAGTTATTTTATAAAGCATTTTCATTATAGAGCTCTCTGCTGCTTACTTTGCGAGCATACAGACAAGATGACCATTTTGCAGTCTAGTCTCCGCAACAGGAAGTCCATGAGTTTGCCTTTATCCTGTAGGAGATTCAGTGTGGGCTGGAGCTTCACCTGGAGGTACCAGAGATATCCTGACAGAGAACAATATAAATCACTCTCCGTCACGCCAGATTTTATTTCATTTGTGCATTGTTTAGTAAAGTACCTTCGCTGGCACTGATGATGATATCCGGTTGGAAAACACTCCAGGAAGAGGAGTCTTGAATGTAAAGGAAAACTTTGAGAAGGGCAAGTACATATGGTATATTTCACATATGAATATAAGTTCATCTGTAAGGATACAAAGTTCACAAGGCACAGGGGCCTGACTTGGAGCGGCCGCAGGTCCTGTAAGGGTGTGGAAAGAAAGATTATGTTCCTTACATTCTCAGAGAAGCATTATATAAAAAGAAGCCAAAACAGGTATGTAGAAACTTGCAATATTGGTATAGTTTATCGTCAAAAGTGTGGTGTTGCTTTCGAAATGAATTACATGTCACCTGTGAGATGGATCTTGTAGGGGTTGATGGATTGGGCAGGAAGCACAGGCTGATGCACATTTAATGCACCATCTAATTCCCTCAGTTTTATATCATAAATGAGTGAAGACTGAAATACAATAAGACAAGCATTTCAAACAAGGTACAGAGCAGATCAGACCTTTATTTTAAGCAGGTTTGCTGATAAGATTAAATCATACTTTTACATATTTATTAGGGATGCACTTTATTGGTACAATACTGTCTGGATATACATTTTAGAGATTATTATATATATATATTTTTTATTTATCTGTATTGGTAGGTTTTTCATATTTATTTCTGCATGCTCATTCCCCCTAATTTTACATGTGGATTACATCTGACTTCATTTACATTCACTTTAAGTTAATCTTTAAAAACACTAATAATTGAAAAACATTGTTAAATGTAATCTTCATCAAATCTCAAAATGAATATTTGTTTTTTATACAGTACTTTATAATGCTGCGATGCCTAAATGCATTTGAATTATTTAAATTACGTTTTTTAATTCATTCAGACAAAATAATGATTGATATCAACTTGAATTTTAATATCAGCGCACCCATAATATTTAAAATAAAATAATACAATAAAATAATGCGAATGCCAGAGGACTAGCAAAGCAGATTGTTAATGACTAGCTCATTATGTACATCATAATCAACTCCACGAATGTGTTAATATCATGTGATTAACAGATTGAACACTTGTCAAACTCACCTGTGAGCTCTGATGGTGCACCACAACTAGATTATCCACCACGTTCAGGGCAAACTTACCCGTGGTGTTTAGTTTGAGCACATGAGTCTTCCTACACGTGCCTTCTCTACAGTTAAAAGAAAGGTAAAGAAAAACAAAAATGCTCAAAAATAGAGCAGAATGCTTTTATTGGACAGTAAGTTATCTATTATACCTGGGCAGGTGATAGAGGACCACCTCTGCTCCAGGACTGTTGGTGGTTCTGGAGTGATGCTTCAGATACATCACATAGAGCTGATCATAACTACAGTCCAGAGAGAGAGTGTGACTGCTGGGCTTCACAGTTGCTTTTTCACACATTATTGCAATATATTTCATAAACTATTAACCGACATATCATTTGCAGAATAACATTTGTTCAGAGTTAGATGTCTAGTGTTGGCTCAGGTGTTCATACACACGTCTTACATTGTAGCCACAGCGATGTCACGTTCAGAGAGGCTGAGTTTGGCTGGTTTGGGCACCGCTGGCAGTTCAATCTCAAACTTGGACATCTTTGACATGGTCACGCTCTAGAGAAAATAATGTTAAGATTAGAGCAGTATGTTTTAAGATTTAACAACCTAATATCAGAGTTACTGTTGCCCTCTTGTGGTTTAAGTCTGCAGATGCAAAACTCCTGCATGCTTTCAATCAACATTAAAGAATAAGACACCAAACTCACCTTGAAAGCAAATGGCTGTAGCACATTACCCTGTACAGTGGTGGAAAGGAGAAGAACGGCAGTCTCTGGGCAATACATGTACCAGTTCACATTGATGCTCTGGCTCTTTAAGAGCTTCAGGGTTCGTTTATCAGGCAGCACCTGCAAAACAAGGATTCTGCTTACCTTTGGCAGAAAGAATGACTTGTTTTGTTGAAGAAAAAAAAAATCAGTTTACTGAACTGATGTAAGGGTGTCACCTCACCTGATAGAATTCTATTCCCTGGTCAGTGACGAATACAATCTCGTTCCAGTTGGTCCAACAAAACCCGAGAATACTGGCATTCTTTGTCTGCAAAAAATTAATAAATAAAAGTTTAGGGTCAGTAAGATTTTTCAATGTAATTCATTCCTGTGATGCAAAGCTGAATTTTCAGCATCATTACTCCAATCTTCAGTCTCACATGATCCTTCAGAAATCATTCTAATATGATGCTAAAGAAACATTTATTATTATCATTATGTTGAAAACAGTTGCTTAATAGTTTTGTGGAAAGCATGATTCATTTTTTTCAGGATTCCTTGATAAATAGGAAGCTCAAAAGAACACCAATCATTTGAAATATAGATTTATAGAAATCTTTTGTAACATTATTAATTTTTTTTACTGTCACTTTTGACCAATTTAATGCATTCTTGCTGAATAAAATCTTACTGCCCCCAAACTTTTGAATAATATTTCATGGATTTTTTGATAAATAGAAAACAATGCATCCTTGCTGAATAAAATTGTTTTTATTCTTAGTGAATAAAATCTTACTGCCCCCAAACGTTTGAATAATAGTTTATACATGCATACATAAACTAATTATTTAATTAATTATAGTCAATCTCTGTTTGTTTAGGGATGTACCTTGCACTCATGGGAAAATTCCAAGTGTGGATAGTCAGGAATGAAATTTGTAAAATCCTAAAAAAAGAGAAAGAAAGAAAGAAATTCACTTAAAGGGAACCTGTGTGCAACAACTGCATTTATTGCGACAGCAATCATCAATGATACTTACAACTGATTTTGTAGTGCGCTGCACAGCTAAGATTTTGTTCCCCAATGAGAATTTGATACACTTCACCTCTCCTTTGTCATCCATTCTGTCAAACGAAACACAGTTTAAGGATGTTTGCCAGTGCTGTTATTGTTAACTAAAACGAAAAGAAAAAAAATAATTTTAAAGCATTTTCAGTCATTTAAATAAAGCTGACATGAAATACAAATATTAGATGAAAACCTTAAACTTAAAAAACCTAAACATTTGAAATAAACGATTTTTATTTCAAGAATTTAATTTAAATAAAAGTTAAACTTAAATGACCAAAACTAAAATTGAAATAAAAATAAATTGAACCTAAGATATAAATTAAAAATAATAATAAAAATTACAAAAGTAACTGAAATTACTTTAAAACATTTATATAAAACTAAAGGATCAATCAAAATATTAACAAATACTATACATTATATAAACAATAACACTGATCTTGACATGATGCATATAGGACACAGATGCATAAAGAAAGTCTAGGGGTCTTACCTGAAAGCCACTGAGCTTTTATCATCTGGCCCTTTAACCACAACACCTGTGGCCCCGCCAGATCGTACTGCAAACACCTGCAATCACACAAAACATCCACTATTATACTCAGAAAGCATCATTTATAAAGGCAGATGCCTACTATCAATTGAGTATGTGATATTTACCCGGGTACCTTTTATGTTTTTCAGATATGTTCCATAGTAGTACTATGGCATTATTTGAAGCACATTGTAAACAACATTACACGAATATAATAATAATATAATAGCATAGTATATAGAAAAGTATCATCTGATACGAAGCCACAGAACTTTTTGATATATGAACAGATGACATTGTCACCACATTTTATCCCAAACATCCTGCATAAACCATAAGCCTGGTGATTAAAATAGGCGATAGAAAGCTATTGCACATAATAGGGTTACAGTCATACGGTTAACATGCATCTAAATATAATTTTATTCATAGATAAAGGCTAATCTAGTTATGTATTTAATGCATTAAAGTTTAATCTACATGCATTGAATTGGAAGACCTCTACTGCTGCCACTCTAATAATTTGTTAATAAGTTTTATGAAAGCATTCATCTACATCTAACTTACATTATGACTGTGCCATTCAAAATGCGCCTATGTTGTCCAAAAATGCTGTCTAGGATTTTGAAACATCCATGATATCGCTTTATAATGTCTGTCATATAGTTATTGTAATATACTTCAAATTATTAAACGTGTCCTCACCTGTTTATTCGCCTCGTCGAAAAACACATTGTTGACGCTCGATGCGTTCTCAAACTGCACGGGGTTTTCACTGAACTCTAGATAATATTCGCCACTCATATCGTTTTATAAAGAGTCGTTTATTCCGCAGCGTTGTGTTTTTACTTTTGCTAGTGTTTCCACTTCCGCGTCCGTCAAAAGTGAGGCAGTCATGTGATGCTCCAGCGGTCATGTGACCTCGGTCTGGCATCGCTACAATATAAAAATATTATGTACATAGAAATTCAGTTGCTTTTAAGACTCTTGGTGTAATAATTATAAGATCATTTACTGCACATTGGTATATTTTTAAAATGTCATACTTTTTTTTTTTTATGATATCTTTTTTTTTTTTTAGTTCCATCACATACCAAACCTGCAGAAATAAAAATAAATTAATTAATTAATTAAATAAATAAATAAAATAACAGGAAAATAAGTAAATTACTTGATAAAAACAAATATAGTTCATTTGTAATCAAATTTAACCCTGGATTTATTTTTATTGCTATTTTCCTTTATGTATTTTTCCTTTATGTATTATATTAGACTATTAATGTATTTATTTTTCTCTGCAAGGACCACCTACAACAGCGCCGCAGCGCGAGTTGGCATAACGTGTAACGTGAATTGACTTTATTTTCGCATAGGCCTATAATCATTTTTAATACAAATGCGAACAAAGCGGTCATTTCATTTTGTCGTTCAAAAAACCAGCGCTGCGTTTTTAAAACAGCAGCTTGTCAGATTCACTGGCTCTGTTTTTAAAAAGTGCAGCTCTTCGGTCCATGAAATTAGAAAACGCGATCATGTTCAGTTCAGTCTGTTTTCACCGGATCAGTTCATTATCGGAGCAGAAGGGGCGTGAATCACCTGAGCTCTGCTGGAGAACAGGGCAAATTCAAGCTCAAACCGGTGTGTACCGTTTTGCTACGGTTTCCGGTTTGAACGACATGTTTCCTGGAAACGGTGTGCAACGGGGTTGGTAATACTTACAATAATTTATTTCTAATATAACAGAAGAATAATAAGTAATATTTACAGAATATTACACTTTACAGAAACATACAAATAGGAAGATGCAGAAAGGAATGTGTTAATTCTTCCAAAGAGTATGGAAGGCTATGAAGCGTCCCTTCCTCTGCAGATGGAACAAAGTGGAGTCTTTTGTGCCTCTGTCTGAGACGATCAGTCCTGAGCCATCAGCCCTCATCATTCCTCAGGTTTTGAGTCCATCTCTTTCAGCTCTACACTGGACAACATGTCCAAAACATCTTCGTCCCACTCTGAGGACAATATAGATGAGAGAGAAGGTGACTATAGCTGCAGCATGTGGGCCAATAGGAGACCCAGCCTGCATCATGTTAGTGTTATGAAACAGGATATGTGGGGCCAAGACGGCATTTCCAGCATCCCAGAGAATATGTATACTTTGCCAGGTGAAGTGCCTGTCAGTGTGCCATCAGTTATCCTGAGTGCTCAGGGTGGCACAGATGCTTCTCCTGTGAAGAACAGTGCAACAGGTGAGACAGAAATTACATTTTAATTAAATTTAATTGAATTTTAGTTGAATTTAATTTAATTTTAATAAAATTTCAAATTATTATTATTATTTTATTAGAACAGCACAACAGGTGATTATATAACTATATCTAAAAGTTATAACAAAATAAATATGAAAGTGACGTGAGGCCAAGTATGGTGACCCATACTCAGAATTAGTGCTCTGCATTTGTCCCATCCAAAGTGCACACACACACAGCAGTGAACACACACACACACCGTGAACACACACCCGGAGCAGTGGGCAGCCATTTTTTGCTGCGGCACCCGGGGAGCAGTTGGGGGTTCAGTGCCTTGCTCAAGGGCACCTCAGTCGTGGTATTGAAGGTGGGAGAGAGCACTGTACATTCACTCCCCCCACCTACAATCCCTGCCGGACCTGAGACTCGAACCCGCAACCTTGGATTTCGAGTCCGACTCTCTAACCATTAGGCCACGACTTCCCCCATTGTGAACATAAGGTATAAGAAAAGAACAAATAAATCTCTTTTTATTTTAAGGACAGATATGTTTCGAATAGTTGTTTTCTTTTCTTTTTCCTCACTTTAGCGAAACATACAAATAACGAGGAGAGAAGAGGGCTCTTCACCAGACTGTGGATGGTTTACTTACTGCTGTGCTGCAAACAGCTATCAGATTCAGTCAAGTCTGTCTCTCCAAACTCTGAATTTTACTACACATACTGAGGACAGTGGAGATGAGAGAGGAGGTGATGATATCTGGAGCATGCGAGTCGATAGGACAAGCGGCCTGGATATTGTCAGTATTTCAAGCTAAGCGTATGACAAAACTACAGCAGCAAGCAAAACGCAGAGGAATGTTTGCCAATAAATATTTACAAACGAGACCAATGTTTCATTGTGATCATATGCCATGACAATTATGTGAGGTTAAGGTTATTTACTTACTTGAAATGATCAAACTAAAGGGAATGCGTGCTGTGCTGCAGGGTTGTTAATCATAATTTGGTCTGGATGGCTCAGCTGCACTAGTGGTGTCAATATAGATCCCGAGGCCACACGAGAACACTATTGATCTCACAGACAGACATTTAATAGACTGACTTACAAAAACCAGACAATCACTGCTGCTCAACCAGCAGTATGTGAGCTGCTTCTGTTCCTCCAAACTATCCAGAACAAACTCCAGAATGAGTTCTTTATTTCGTAGTGAGGAGATGTGTCTCGTGCAGCTGTTTTTTCAAACCGAATCGGCTCACAATTGCATCAGTGAACTTGGGCATCTTGGATTGGTTCAGTTTAAAGATGTGAGTAATCTTTGTACTGCTTGAGTGATGTGTGTGTGTGTGTGTGTGTGTGTGTGTGTGTAAGTGACTCCATTCAGTTTAAGTGGCCTGTGTTGTTGAATCGAATGACATTGTAGCTAAAAACGTGTTTGAGCATCACTAGGCCATCATTTATTTTGACATTTGTCTGATTGTCAAGTAAACACACATCCATTGATTTATAAATGTAGGCTAGTCTGCTTTTGGCAGCATGCACACTTTCTAGTGCATATAGTGCAAACTCACTGCATCATTCTTCAGTTCGTATTGAACGTTCATTGTCACAGAATTTGACTTCTCACCATTGGTTGAATCAATCAATGCACAACACTGCAGAGCCAGAAAAAAATGACTGTGTACGTGATTACTGTATGTATGTAAATTAATAAGGGAGTCATTTAAGAAGCTAATAGGGCTTCAGTCATCTAAAATAAACCAAAACCATCTAAATTCTGCCTTGATATGTTAGAATTTCTTTGTGTATTAAGCTTTTTTTAAATGATCTTACAGCTGAATCCTGGTGTAGCGGCATTTCAGAGGCGATTTGTGAAAGAAGTGAAGAAATGTGAAGAAATGGAGAGAATTCTGAGTAAGAACGTTTGTATTTTATTATAAGATGAACTAAGTTATCATTCTGAGCTCATGAATAAACATTTCTGCTGTAAATGTTCATCATTTTTAAGCCCTAAAGGTGAGTTGCCTATATTGCAAAGATCTATTTCTCATCCATTTTACACATTGAATCATTCATTATACTGGATCATAGACTGCAGAAGGGATCTAACATTAAAACTTTGATTACAGTTGACTCATACTCCCTATATTCATTTAAAGCAACTGTATGGAAGTTTGTTACTTTGAAATATCAATTTCAATGTCATTCTGATGGTACATTGACTTATAATAAGGTGAATGGCTTCTGTTTCTTTCCCAAACGTCTGTTCTGGGAGAATATAAGCTTGGTCAACAAATGCACGTGTAAAGCCAGCTATCCACTGTAATTACAACTTTAACTTTAGGCGGTTCCAAAGTTGCAAAAATACACAAAACTACATGCAGTTGCTTTAAATGTCTTTGATATAATTAACTTACTTCAAAGACAGTCATGCTGGTTTCTCTTGAAATTATACATCATTTAGGGTATCTTGAGAAGGAGATGGTGAAATCTAACACTGTAATTGCTGCAACAAAGGAGAAGGAGATGGTTCCCTGTGCCAGAGATGTTCTGGAGCTTGAGGTGAAAAACAATACTTTTCATTTTATTAATATGTTCTTTTAAAGTTCTTCTCAGTTGTGGCCTTGACCAAATAAACCCATTTTCTCTTACTCTGTAATAACAAAATTTTACAGACAAAAACAAATTCCGAAAGTTACTGTGACATAATGCTTGCCTTCAAACCTTTAGTCCACATTTGAGAAGTTGGAGCAGGAACTGCGAGAAATCAACCGTAACCATGCCGCACTCAGACAGAACCTCATTGAGCTGATGGACATTGACTCTCTGCTGAGGATGACTGAAGACTTCTTTGAAGAGGTGAAGATCTTGAGATGAATTTTAATTTATTTTATTTTTAATTATATAATATTAGTATGCTTTAATATTTTGAATTAGCTTTTTTATATATTTAGTTTTAGTTTAAGTAATTTTGCAATGTGCTTTTGTCTTTTTATTCTTTTTTTATATATATATTTTCTAAATATTTCAATTTACTTTTACAGTTATTACAGTTTTAGTTTCAGTAATTTTTGTACTTCAATTTAAAATGATTTATCTCAGGTACTTGCCAAGGCAACATTTCTCATTTTTATTTAAATTTAAGTTTGTTTTTCTGATATTTATATTTTATTTTGTAGCTTTATTTCAATTTTTATGTTTATTTATTATTAGCTAGCTTTATTTCAATTACAAAAATCATTTTCAAAAGTATTAGTTTTAGCTTAAGTTAATAATAACAAAACCGATCATAATTTAACATATTTATTGTAACTTTTTTTTTTTCAAATATTTTAACCAAACGAAATGTATTTTAAGGCCTTGATTTTTACTTAAAGGAGTCCTATTATGCTCTTTTACAAAGTCTTGATTTTGTTTTGGGGGTGTACTAGAACATGCTCTCATGCTTGGTGGTTCGAAAAACGCATTATTTTTCACATAATTTACATTATTAAAATATCTTTCTCCCCAGGCTGGCACAAACGGCTTGATTAGTTCCGGCTTTGATGAAGGTCCGCCTTCCGAAAAACAAAATGTGTTGTGATTGGTTAGCTGTCCCAGTGCGTTGTGATTGGCGAACAGCTTAGACGGTGTTTCAGTACTGCCCCACCCCTTGCTTCGTCTTTCAACAAAAGCTTTTGGGCGTATCCGGCAGGCACTGTACTCACTCATGTTGTGGAAGCTGTCCTCAGTAAAATGCGCAGCACACAATAGCAAATTGGGGTTATAATGCTCAGGAACAGAGTTAAAAAATTAATTGCAACCACTGTTTCCTGACATCATCTGCTTTCGGAAGCCCAAATAAAGACGTTTGGGCACGGAGGTGAAAAAAACAGCGTTTCAGGCGGTCGCACAGCAGACAAGAAGCACAGCGTCGCGTCGCACCACGTCTTTAAAATTCAAATACATTATTTTCTATGAGTGTAGGCACACCGGCGGTGCCCAGCTACGTCGTGTTTTACTTGTAAGAATTGTTCTAGACATGCCGAAAATTTGAAGCTACAGCACAGCAGCTCTTCTTCTTGGTTTTCTCTGATGCACTAACTCTGCAGCAGCACTTCTTCTTCATCGTCTCGTCTGATGCACTCACTCAAACAAGCGTTCTAACCACAACCTCACTCCTCCCCACCCCACAACCATTCCAATTTCTGTAGGCGGGAATTATTTTTAATGATATTCTAATGGGCCGCTTTGTGATATCACAAAGCCCGGAAACCAACGCTGTAGTCCAAACGAGCTGTTCGTTGTAGTTCTTGAAAAGGGATTTTTTTTTAACTAAATATCTCCCTTTGGAGTGAACTTTGAGATTTGTAACTGTCTAGATCTTTTTTATGCCCAAACATACACACTACACACTGACTAAAATTAAAAAAGTGAAAAAGCATAATAGGACCCCTTTAATATTTAAACATTTGCATGTTTAGTGAACATCATTTACTTGTATGGTCTTTTTAATCTTGATTTTTCAGGGTGATTCACCTTCAAGTCAACAGAACAATTTTTATTTGAAACATTATTCCCAAATGCTTGAAGTGAAGTTCACCCAACCCAAAAAAAAAAAAAATCTGCCATAATTTACTTTTTTTTTGCGTGAAACAGAAAGCTGTCCATACTACTCATTGCAATGAAAGTGAATGGTTTCCATGTACAGCTTGATCTACTTAAGTCTGCGTTATGATTGCTTGTGTACCAGGCCGAATCGCTGCTAACCTACTCTGAGCCTCCCTCTGAAGACTCAGTGTCTATGACCGTCTCATCACACATAACCAGCCGCAGAAACAGCAACTCCAGCACCTCTGGAGCTCTACATCTTAGGTACTGTACATTTAAAATATCTTGTCCCACTTATACACAAAGGTTCCAGTTAAAACCAAAAAAGATACCGTACTTATGACATACTGTGTCTGTACACATTTGAAGCTTTATTGCAGGTGTGATCAAACAAGAAAGGTTTCCTGCTTTTGAAAAGGTTCTTTGGCGCCTTTTTCATGGAAATTTCGTCCTTCGGCATGCAGAGATGCAGGCCACTGAGGAACTCCAAGCAGTGGTGAGAATATTTTATATTCCCATATTCCTATTTTTAAGTTTGTTTTATTTTTGATGTTCTTTCACACTCAACACACTTCTGCAACTTATATGCACAGCTATATTCCCATTCTACATACTCCAACATAATAATTACTTACAACATGGTCTCTTCATATGTGTTCTTGAATATTTAAAGCAATCGATAGCTTGGTATCAGATTGTCAATACACATCACACATGCTGCTATATTACTTGTTTGAAATGGACATGAATCCATTTGATATCGATTTTTTGGTTTAGGACAGATGGTGAAAGCTAATGTACAGTTGGGTGTGTGTTAATATTATCAGAAAAATGGTCAGTAAATATATGTTTCTTTTAAACAGAGGGGAGCTGTGAAGAAGGACGTGTTCATTATATTTGTCCAGGGAGATCATGTGCGAGAAAAAATCAGAAAAGTGTGTGAAGGGTGAGAGACAGTGGAGTCATTCTCCAAAAATGTTGAGTTTCCCGAATTAGAAAATTCTGTTCAATACATTTCCCCCCACAAAACTGATGGTATTTATTTTAATATGTTATTTGATTTTATTTCACAAATGTAAAAGGGTTGTAGCATCACTAACGAAATGATAATATCAATAAAAAAGAATCTATATACTTTCTATATATTTAAAAAAAAAATCAACATAAAGACAAAGAAAAAATAACTCAAATTAAAAAATCATATATAAAAAAAATAAAAAATGAAACATAAAAAAACTTCTTGCATCTTTGCATCTTTTTTACTCTGAACTTACTTTTCAACAACATTTTCTATTTTTTAAATACATTTTTAATGTTGATAACACCAATGACAGACAGACTTAAATAAATGAATGAATGAGTGAGAAAACCGTTCTTTTTAATAGTTTAATATGATTTCATAAAGTGTAGGTTTATAGATTAATGTCTTTTATGTGGAGTTTCTCGGCTGTTTGACTATATATAGCTACTTGGCTATATATTTTTTCATGATATGTCACCATAAGTAGCAGTTTAACTTGGCCCAAACAATCTATTTAGATCTAAGTATGAAAACTGTAATTTTATTTGATGGCCTTATTCACATTTGAATTCTAAATGAAATTTCATCATCAACATTATTTCTACAATCCTTAAAGATTTCGTGCCAGCTTGTACTCATGCCCCAAAACTCTGTATGAACCCAAGCAAATGAGTACCAGCGTAATGACACAAATGGAAGATCTTCGGATGGTGAGTCACATCATTGATTATTTCCAATTGCAAGTGTCTTTTCAAGTGTGTCTATTTGAGAGAATCAGTATTCATAAATAAATGTAGGAAATAGCTGTTTTTATGTCCACATTCGTTGTAAAGATCCTGAGAAGAACTGAAGAATATCGTGCCGGTGTCTTGACGCGAGCAGCGGAGCACGTCCAGGAGTGGGGCAGTAAAGTGAAGAAGATGAAGGCCATCTACTACACCCTCAATCTCTGCAACATAGACATCACGCAGAAGCTGATCGTGGCAGAGATCTGGTGTCCTGTGTCAGATCTCACTTTAGTACAAAGCGCCCTGATTAAGGGATCTGTAAGTATGTTTATATACTTCCTTGAATAAATATTCTGCAAACCATCACTAATATTTCAAAATGGAATATTTGCAAGTGGTTTTATGACCACATATTCCGCCTCTGGGTTTCTCTTTCTCTTTTAGGAGCAGAGTGGATCCAGCGTGACTCCAGTACTGAACCGAATCCAAACCCAGCAAACTCCACCAACCTTCAACAGAACCAACACATTTACTGAGGGATTCCAGGCTATTATTGACGCCTATGGGGTCGGTACTTATCAGGAGATCAATCCAGGTGGTTGACTGTATAATTTCATATATTATTTCATTGCAAAATTTAATATGAATTAATAACATATTTTTAATAATATACGTGCATATATTTAATAATATATTAATATATTTAATGCATTATTTAATTGCAACATTTAATATGAATATATATATATATATATATATATACCCTGCTGTTCAAAAGTTTGGGATCAGTAAGACTTGAAGTCTCTTATGCTCATGAAGGCTGCATTTATTTGATCAAAAATACAGAAAAAAACAGTAATCTTGCAAAATGTTATATCGTTCTGATCCCAAACTTTTGACCGGTAGTGTATATATGTGTATGTATTATAATTTACTTGCTCCGTTTATTTTCTCAGCTTCATACACTATTGTAACCTTCCCTTTCCTGTTTGCGGTGATGTTTGGAGATTGTGGTCATGGACTGGTGATGACGCTGTTTGCAGTCTGGGTCACTTCACAAGCTGAATCTTTACGAAAGTGGAAAAATGAGGTATTGAATACGTGCTCTGATCTCTTGTTTGCATAATTTGATTTTTTTTTTTTGAACTCTGATTAGTGTCTTTTAGAGTCTTTTTACTTATTATTTTCACTAGTCATAATTGTCTTTCTCCTCCCAGCTGACAGATGTCGTGATCGGGGGACGCTATATTATCCTGCTCATGGGAATGTTCTCCATATACACTGGCCTGATTTACAATGACTGCTTCTCCAAGTCCTTCAACATCTTCGGCTCTTCCTGGTGTGTTCTGTCCATGTTTCATCCTCACGGGCCGTGGCAGTACGTATGCTGGAGACCTGCAGACTTTAAAGTAGTCGTTTGCTCTTTTCCTTTCTGATATATATATTTTTTCTTTATCTCAGAAATGAAACGCTGCATGAGTATCACCATCTTCAGCTGAACCCATTTGTGCCTGGAGTTTATTCTGGAGACCCGTATGTGTTTGGAATTGACCCGGTCAGTGCCTGTAAAATCTTGTTTCTACAGAATTTCTTTCCCTGGACAGTTTTAGGTTATGCATACGTTGAAGTTGAACATTTTGTTGTTTTTCTTACATCATGTGATCTTGGATTGTGTTTACAATGATTTGAGAGTTTGAATGGGAGTTTGGTTGTCTTACTGTGTTTTATTCACTAGGTGGCAGGATTTAGCTGTTCTGATGCTGTGCATTAAAGGGATAGTTCACCCAAAAATGAAAATTTGATGTGTGTCAGGCGCCGGCTGTTGAACGCGTTCAGGATGCGGTGAAAATCAGAGGTAAAAAACTATCTAAATACTGTTCAGTTTCTTGCACAGACCGATCATTTCGTGTCTTTACACATCAGTGTATCGTCACGAGCCGCTGGGTTTAATTTGGTTTTGTTTGTGTATGTTTTTTTTGACTCTCAAAGCCGTGATTCCCATCCACTGACATTATAAGACTGACAGACTGCAACGGTTTGAGTTAAAAATCTTCGTATGTGTTCTACTGAAGAAACAAATCACCTACATCTTGGATGCCCTGGGGGTAAGCAGATAAACATCAAATTTTCATTTTTGGGTGAACTATCCCTTTAAGAATCCCTTTTGTTCCTAAAGTTCACAACATATGCAAGGAAATAGAGGAGTACTTTTAACAGCAAGTGAATATAATAATAAATAAATTAATAAATTAAAGCAAAATGACTGCTTTCTATTTGAATATATTTTTTATGTAATTTATTCCTGTGGGGCAAAGCTGAATTCTCAACATCATTACTCCAGTCTTCAGTGTCGCTGTTATTCCAAACTTCATAAATGTGTAGATTTGCACAGCAAAGATTTTGAACAATTGCATTGATTTACATTTTTGTTTTAGGTTTGGAATATTGCATCAAACAAGCTGTCCTTTCTAAACTCCTTCAAGATGAAGATGTCGGTCATATTGGGAGTCAGTCATATGCTCTTTGGAGTCGCCCTGAGTTTGGTGAACTTTGTGTGGGTATTTGATCTCTTATAAATTAAGGCAAAATAAATTTTTTAATCAATTTAAATAAATTAGATTGTCAAATGCTAATGCAAAACATGAATCCTCTTTAAGGACATAAGTTGTTATACTGAAATTTTATGATGTAATAATGTAGGCTTTTGTCTATTTTGTCTAAAGTAGAAAAATGAGATGCTACTTGTACATAAATCTACACTGTAAAACATTATATAAGTCATGGCAACATATGTTTTTCCTTTAGTTTAACGCATTAAAATAATGTAACCAATTTCAACTGCACTTTTTAATTTATACGAGATTCAGCTCAACAAAATAAAAATAAAAAAAGTTGAAATGAGCAATTTGACAAATTTAAAGCAGCAACTTCAGTTTTTTTGATTGAATTAGATAGTAGAGGTTATTATGATTACAAGGTATAGTTGATCGTTTTAAAAGTACCATCTCTTCACAAAGTCCAGATAAATTATGATTAATTGAAGTTCTTAACCCTTGTGGTCATCATTGTTCAGAAATCTGTGACATTTTGCTTTTCTCGTTGCCTCGTTCAGACATTTCCGAAAATTCCAGGACATTTTCCTTCAGTTTGTTCCACAGCTGATCTTCATGCTGTCTCTCTTCGGATACCTGATCTTCCTCATCCTCTATAAATGGTGCATCACTCTACGCTCTGAAACGGCTCCCAGCATTCTGCTGCTCTTCATCAACATGATGCTGTTTGATTACCAGTCTGAACATGTGCTTCTGTACAGAGGACAGGTTTGGATTCATGCTCCTCTAAAAGCTGTTCTTTACTCCTGGCTTTTCGTGGCCTAATGGTTAGAGAGTTGGACTTGTAACCTAAAGGTTGTGGGTTCGAGTCTTGTACTGGCAGGGATTGTAGGTGGGTGGAGTGAATGCAAATTCACTCTCTCCCACCTTCAAAACCACGATTGTGGTGCCCTTGAGCAAGGCACCGAACCCCCAACTCCTCCCTGAGCGCTGCAGCAAAAATGGCTGCCCACTGCTCCGGGTGTGTGTCTTCACTGCTGTGTGTGTGCACTTAGGATGGGATAAATGCAGAGCACTAATTCCGAGTATGGGTCACCATACTTGGCCACACGTCACTTCACTTCTATATTTTGTGTCTAATAATATTTTCATATAAGTGATTGTGACTAATAAGGTCTCTACACAGGTGTTTGGGAACAATCTGAATGATCAGCATGGAACAGATACACGCTCTTCCTTCTCACAACATCAGAAGGATGAGATGGTAAGCTTTTGGTATATGGTAGGATGTTGTTTAAAACCTACTGAATACTGTTACTTTATGTCTTAAATAAAACATAATATGCAAACATACAAAATGCTCAAATATCTTTAACTATGCCGTACAACCAAAGAGGAAAGATCATTTCATCTGTTTTCTTCTTCAGGTAAGTATGGGTGACATCTTTGTGTATCAGGCCATCCACACAATCGAGTTCTGCCTGGGCTGCATCTCCAACACGGCCTCGTACCTTCGGCTCTGGGCGCTCAGTCTGGCTCACGCAGGTTTGTCCTGTCGCAGTACTTGCACAGTAATAAAACAAACTGCATGATCAGTACAGAGAGTAACGGCTTCCGATTTATTATCTGTGTTCTTTATGTTTTCATTTGTGTCTGAGTGACTGATTGTATCAACAGTGAAATGTTTTATGAGTAAATGAAGGTGTGCAGTTTATGAGGACACATACAATGATCAAGAACACCAGAACGTGTTTTACTTTTTTTTTTACCTTCCCTAGTTTTTAGCATATTAATGGAATACATGGCTAAGTGCTTTTCAGAATTTAGTTCTGAAAATGCACTATTGGTCATAAGTTTGGAATAATAATTATTATTATTTTAATGTTTTTAAAATTAATCTGCAAGAAATGCTCTGCATTCATTTGATTAAATACAGTAAAAACAGTAATATTGTATATAACTTTATATAACTTTTTGCTGTTTTCCATTTGAATATAATTTAAAAAGCAATCTATTCAGTCATTCTGAATGCTGATTTGGTGCTCAATTAATATTTCTTATCAACATCAATGTTGATGTTAAACAGCGGCTTAATATTTTTGTGGAAATCTTAAGAAATTTTAGGACAAGTAAGATTTTTTTTTATTAAAAAGAAATGAATACTTTAATTCAGCATGGATGTATTAAATTGATCAAAAGTGACAATTATAATGTTACAAAATATTTGTTTAAAAAAAAAAGCCTTTTTATTTACTTTCTATTCATCAAAGAATCCTGAAAAAAATATCACGGTTTCCACAAAAATATCAAAGCAACAAAAACTGTTTTCAGCATTAATAATGATAATAATAACCATAACTAATAATTGAGCAGCAAATCAGAATGATTTTTAAAAGAAACTTTAGTTATAGAGCTTATTAGTATAATTTATGTGTCCGTAAACATGCTAAAGGAATAGTTCACCTCAAAATATCAGTAATATCTAGTGCTGTCAAACGATTAATCGCATCCAAAATAAAAGTTGTTGTTTACATAGTATATGTGTACTGTGTATATTTATTATGTATATTTATAAATACACACACATGAATGTATATATTTAAGAAAAATATGTTACTTTTATATATTAAATATATTTATATATATAATTTATAGGAATATAAATACATACACGTACATACATGTAAATATTTTCAAAATATATGCTGTGTGTGTGTCTTTATATATTCATAATAAATATACACAGTACACACACATATATTATGTAAACAAAAACTTTTATTTTGGATGCGATTAATCGTGATTAATCGTTTGACAGCACTAGTAATATCATTATTTCATACCAACCCTCATGTTGTTTCTAAATGTGAATGATTTTTCTTTGCACTGTGCAACACAAAAGTACATATTTTGTTGATTTTCAGTGAACAACAGTTTAAATGTCAGTCTGCTCTTCACACAACCCAATTTTTGTTGTTATTGTTAAAGGTGCTGTATGTAGGATTGACACCGAGTGGTTGAACTAGGTATTGCAGTCCAAATTCTAAATATTGGAGAGGGTTTTTTTCACCCGGCCCCTCCTCCTCAGACTTGACGCACACGCAGGTTGCCAGATTGACGACACCAACAGGAATGAGCGCACTTGACGATGAATGAAATGAAATACGCTGTGTTTTCCGCCAACTGGCAACCCGGGGTCCCGAAATACAATTGGGTAAACTGGCAGTGGGCGGGTTTCACAAACCAAAACAGAGACCGACATTCCGGCCCGGAACGCACATTTTCAAACGAGAATAACTGACTGTAGCATTGTTTTTCAGATAAACAAGTATGTTAACTTAGCATGTTTCTAAAATATCGGCAAACATATGGTATTTTTATGCTTTAGTAGAGTCAAAAACTTACATACAGCACCTTTAAGAATGACTCGAGAGTGAGTAAATGACAATTTAAATTTTTGGGTGAACTATCCCTTTAAAAAACACACACTGACAGAGTGAAATGAAATGAGGTTAATTAAAGGCCATATCGTCTGCAGAGCTGTCAGAGGTGCTTTGGAGGATGGTTCTCCAGGTGGGCCTGAAGATCTCCTCTGGTATGGGTTCACTCATGCTGGTAGTGCTGTTTGCTGCTTTCGCTGTTCTCACCGTGACTGTTCTTCTGATTATGGAGGGCCTGTCTGCCTTTCTGCACGCTTTACGACTACACTGGTAAGAACAAACACATAATTCAAAAGCAACGAGTATGAGACTTCACTTGAATTCTTTTAACAAAGAAGTTATGAGAGTTATCATGCATATAACAACCTTGCACCTTGCACTTGTAAGCTGCATGTTAGTCAAGGTATTTGACTTGTTCCTGACCTTTGACAAGGGGCATGTTTGTCTGTCTATTTTCAATCTATTAAAGTTTACATATATCTGGCCCAAAAGTCTAATGTCTCTGTACTTGAAGTGTGTCCAAATTTAGCATTAATAGTGTGAGTTTATCGTGAGGTTCAGTATATGTACTGTTACTACTAACCACAACAAATGTTTGATCGGTTTACAAAGCATGTTTAAATATGATAAAAAAAAATAGCACAAAGTGATATGAATGTAGGTAAAGTGACATTTTCATGTGTTTGTTTTCAGGGTTGAATTTCAGAACAAGTTTTACGAGGGATCCGGCTACAAGTTCACACCCTTGTCCTTTGACAGCCTGTTAAAAACACAGCAGTAATAGTTTTTATACGTGCTATTCTTGTAGTTTTTAATGTAAATATAGTTTTGTGAATGTAACAAATGCATATTTCAAATCAGGGGTCTTCAACAGGGATCTCACAAGAATTGTGTAAAATGAAATTCTGAAAATTCGCAAGATGTAGATGAGTTTGTTTCTTCATCAGAACAGATTTGGAGAAATGTAGCGTTTACATCACATTACAATGGATCCTCTGCAGTGAATGGGTGCCGTCAGAATGAGAGTCCAAACAGCTGATAAAAACATCACAGTAATCCACACGACTCCAGTCCATTAATTAACATCTTAAGAAGTGAAAAGCCAGCATTGCTTCTGGCTAAAATATGAAAACTTTTGATGTGAGAGGACAAAAGGAGACTGGCTTTTTCTCTGGAGGAAGCTTATTATGGATTATGGACTGGTATTTTGGCCAGAAGCGACAGGTTAACGTTAAAACACCTTAATGATAGATTTGTTTATTACAAACATGCAAATTTTCATCTAACAGACATTAAATGTGTGGATAGAGTCATGTGGATTACTTGTGGATTTTTGTGATGTTTTTATCAGCTGTTTGGACTCTCATTCTGACGGCACCCATTCACTGCAATTGGCATAATGCTAAATTTCTCCAAATCTGTTCTGATGAAGAAACAAACTCTTTACAAAAGTAACTCCATAAAATAATTACATTTAAGTAGGCCTACATTTTGTTATTATTACTGTTTAGTTGTGTAATACTGTAACTTTAACACTAATGTAAATGTTATCAAAACATTTTTCATTATTATATAAAAAATTGTTAATATATAAATACAAATTATAGCTTTAAAAAGCAATGAAAAGACAAAAGTAACAATTGCAAAATGTAGCTTTTATTAACGCTGTAAACCTAAAGTATAAAATAGTTTTAGACCATCCTAGTTAGCTGCAAAATAAACTGTACAAATGTGGAGCAGACTGAATGAATTTACTGTATAACATGCATCTAATACGATCTGTGTCATATAATCATACACAAGAGGTGGATTCGTGAATTTATGTTAGTAAACTTCCTTAATGAATTGTTGTGTATATTTTTTGTATACTTGCACATTGAGAACTAACATTTTCTAAAACGGCATTCACTGGGTTAAAGGTGAAATACCTATTTTGGGTTGTAGGAACATACACGTTGAAAATTCATGGCATTTTAAATAAACATGAATAAGATGCTACCATGTTCATGATGGACCATTGATTGGCTCCAGAGTTCTGAATGTAAAAAACAGGGTTTTGCGTCTCATTTCAATTTAGACTAGACAACTGTTGGCAACAAGAATAAATTTGACGGTTTCTCGTGAGTCCCTTGAGCCAGATCAAGACAGAACAGCACCGTGCATTCAAGGTATGTTTAGAATTTAGAACTTGACAATTTTTCAACAGAGACCTGTTTTCCAGATATGGTTGAGACCTTTATGTTTTTGTATTTTTAAATGTTATTGCATTTACACGCTTAAAGGTACAACACTAATGCATACAGAAACAGTCGAAACGCCAATGTGATGATGCTATTCATTTGTTTGGTGTTTCACAATTCATAACTTTATCATATCATATGAAAAACTGCGTAAGTTAAGGACAGATGCATGTTAGTGTAAACCTGGATCCAGTTAATGCCAGTAGACTAATAAATCCTCTAGTTAAAAAAAAAAAAAATCATATACTAATAAACTTACATCCAACATGAATATACATGTAGGAGTAAAACTTCTGCTAGATTCAGTAAAATGACACTGACTTTGGCATTTATTTAAATGAAACACGTAAATGCCAACTTCCAGTCCAAAATGACTTTCCACTTCAGTCAGTCATTCAGATGCATTTATCCAAAATATATCCACATAAAATATATCTCATTCATTAAAGGGGTCATATGACATTACTAAAAAAAAGAACATTATTTTGTGTATTTGGTGTAATGAAATGTGTTTATGCGGTTTAAGGTTCAAATTAGCGAGAATCAAAGTTACGCCTTCTTTCTTTGCATAAACATTTGGGCGGTGTTATGCAAATCTTCCCACACAGTGACGTACACATGTGGGGGCGTGTTTAAACGAGGTGTTTTAGGAGGGCGTGGACCAGTCTTAACTTTTATAAAGAATATCTCTTTGGGTTTGAGACTTTAATCTTTGCAACTTTAGGGATCTTATCTATTCATGAACAGCTTGTAACACTCCAAAGAGAAAGGAAAATCTGAAATCACATCGTACGACCCCTTTAACACCTATTTTTTAATGTTCATGTTCATGCACAAATCCGCAATACACAATGTAAAAGATTCAAATACTTCTACATCTGTCATGCAAAGTGTTGATTAGCAATATTTGAGCATCATTATTACTAAATTATGACGCCTTCAATTTTTTTTATACTGTATTACAAGTCATCAGTATTTTTAAATGATATTTAATTAATTTTATTTTACAAAAAATGCTAAATGTCCACAGAAAATATAAATTTGAAGTGTGCATATACATGGCACGTTTAAAGTTCCAGACAAAACTCAGATTAAATATGAACTTTTTGTTCATTACGCTGTGTAACCACATTCAAATAAGTATTTCAACTTGATTGTCGAACCCAAGTGAGATTGTAGTGCTACTTATGGAAAAAGGAAGCTCTGAGAAACAGCTGAAGGGTACTATGGCCGTGTTTGAAGAATACACACAGACATCTAGGATCGTGTGGTGTTGTTGCCATTCTCGTTATCGCCGTCGTCGTCAGACTGTTGGTCTGGAGGTATGGCGCGGGTTTGGCTGGCTCGTACGCTGGTCAGATGAGGGCAGGCAGAGATCAGGTTAGCAATGCCAACAAGAGTTACACCTGTGCCATCCAGGTTTACTTGACTCAGCTGCATACGGCACAGGAACTTCAGACCTGAGGAATAAAATTCAGCATGTTAAGAGACGTTTCTTTACTAGAAAATGATCGTGGAGGGAATAACACTGCACAACATACCCTGATCTGTGATTCTGGTTCTGCTGAGGTTGAGTTTCAGCAGCTGAGGACAGTGAACTAGACCTCGTCTGATCACTGTATCGCCCACCTGTGTACTGGCCAAACCCATCACCTACAAAACAAAAAACAAACATGTATGTTGAAGCCATGAATATTCATCATATACTGTATATGTGTGTGTGTGTATATATATATATATAAAAATTGTATTATATAAAACTCTCTTATGCTCACCAAGGCTAGTTTTATTTAATGAAAAAACAAAATAAAAACTGTAATATTGTGAAATATTACTACAAATTAGTATAACTGTTTTCTATGTTAATATATTTCAAAATATAATTTATTTCTGTGATGACATGAAAAGTGTCACATGATCCTTCAGAAATACTAAAGAAACATCTACATTTTTTAGGATTCTTTGATGAATAGAAATTTCAAAAGAACAGCATTTATTTGAAATAAAAATCTCTTGTAACATTATAAATGTCTTAACTGTCACTTGATACACTTTAAAAGTTAAAAATGTATTTCTAAAAAAAAAATAAAAAATGTATATATATTTTATGTATTAATTCTACTGTACCTGCAGATGTGGTAAGTGTGTGATCAAGGCTGCAACGCCCCTGCTGGTGACGGCTGTACGGTCAAGACACAGTTCCTGGAGATCTTTTAGACTGATCAGTCCCTGCAGCCCGCTGTCACTCACCTGAGTGTTGCTAAGAGACAGCTTCTTCAGCCTATCAAATAAAAAGGGGCCGGTCATCATTACCATCTTTGGTAAAATGTGAAGATTTCTAAAAACTCTTCTAATGAAGCGAATGAACGAAAGGTCTACTCGTACAAACAGCGAAACAAAAAACTGCATGACAATGTAAATTTTAATTGCTTTAAAGCAGTCACATAGCAATAGCATGATATATTGCAATATAATCACTTTTTTTATCAGAATGCTGGAAAACCTACAAAAGAAACTTATTGGTCTGTGAGTTTTATCACACAGTCAATCAACAGGACAAAAAATATTATAACACTATATTTGTTGACAAAAAAGAACAGTGTGAATAGGTTTACAAGAGTGGATTGATTTTCAAGTCTTGTTTGTGGCACATATTTGCTCTTGGTGTGAATAGATTGTTACACATAAATCAGGGTTCCCACAATTTCTGACCAAAGAATTTCCATGATTTCCATGCCTTGTCCAGCTGTTAATAATGACTGGACAAGAAATTTTAAAACTCATTTCATAAAGTAAAGAGTAAATTCTAGCTAAAGGAAGAGCTGAGTATGCCTTTTCCAGAGACTTTTGAAATTCTCTAATATTTCCAGGTTTTTCATGACCGTGGGAAACAATGGACTACAACAATTTGGGATGTGGCCAGTGATTTTGTAAATAACCGTAAGTACGCCTATTCCAGCATTACAAGATTTGCATGGTTGCATTACACCAAATTAAAGCAGAACAGCAGCTTCTTTTTTCATTTGATTTACTACATGGACACTTTTGGACCTAAAGATCTACCTGGTCATGCTGGAAAGCTGTGTAATGCCGTGGTCGGTGAGCTGAGTGTAGTCAGTCAGGTCGAGCTCTAAAAGTAAAGTCTGTCTGGAGAGAAACGAAAGTCCACTGTCCGTCACAGAGTGTCTGCCAGGCAGGGTGAGCTGGGTAAGCCTTAGGCCTGCATGGAGAAATCAGACAAAGTAGTAAATGATCTTACTTCACTAAAACCCCAAACAGGATTGACTAATCCCTATGCAAAAAAACATTCATGCATGCATTAAATAATGCATAAATGATGCATAAAAAGCCATAAATACAAATAGTTCTATTTGGCTGCACCTGAAATGATCTCCAGCGTGTGGTTTCCGTCGGCGACTGGTATGCCGGCCAGGCTGAGAGCTGATAGGCTGGGGTGGGTTGCTAGGCACTGGAGAGTATTTTCTTGTACACCTGTGCCGTCCAGGTGAAGCGTCTGCAGGTTTTGGAGCTCTGCGAGTGCAGAAACGTCACTCACCTCATAGCAAAAGGAAACAAAAGCAAAATAAATATAGGATAAATGTATAGTGAATTCCCTCACAGCCTAAAATAAATAAACCTTACAAACAAGCCCTGTAACGGCTTCATGACTGACTGCGCAAGCTAACTGGAGCTTGTTTGAAGGGACAAATGCAGTCTACTGTTCATAAGGATATACTAAATTTATCAAAAGTGACAGTAAAGATTTCTAATGCTGTTCTTTTGAACTTTCTATTCTCAAAAAAAAAAAATCAGAGAAAAAAAAAAAATCAGTTTCCACAAAAATATTAAGCAGCATAACTGATTTCAACATTGATAATAATAATAAATGTTTCCAAAAGCAACAAATTAGAATGATTAGAATGATTGACCGGAGTAATCTGGAGATAAATTAAATTTTAAAGTCTATTCAAATAGAAAATCTATTCAAATAGAAAACAAAAATTGTAATCATATTTCACATTATTACTGTTTTTTTGATCAAATAAATGCAGCTTTGGTGAGCAGAAGAGACTTCTTTCAAAATTAAAAAAAAAAAATCTTGCCAACCTCAGACTTTTGATAATAAAAAAATTCATGTATAATGACTTTACAAGAATTGGAAAAAAATATTAAAATAGTTTTAGATGAAGTATTACAGGCCCTGTCACAATTTATATTACTCAACATGACAAAAACTGAAATCACAACTGGTTACATTAACAAATCAGATTAATATGGAATATGTCACTTATTGCTGGTAAACAAATCCATACATTTTTTGGATAGACAGAAATTCCCATATTATAAACACATTGGCTGCTTTATTTCTTTTTCATTTTTTTAATTTATTTTTTTACATACCTTTTACAGAATGCTGCAGCATTATTTGAGCATAATTTTTTTGTTAGTCCGTTATTGTGATATAATCTATGTTAGATAACCCCATCCATAAATGGCACGTACTGCAAATCCAAAATAAACTGGGATTGAACCTGCAAAACCTATATTTCTATACATTTTTATCTATAAATAAAATAAAACTATTAAAACTTTTTAAAAATAAATAAAATGCAATAAATATAAATACAAGAATTTTTAATTCTTTTGAAAAAAATCTCTGTGTATACACATTACCTTGATGTGTTTAATACTGAGCATTCGTAGCTGTGGTACACATGTGGGCAGCGCTCTCAATGTGCTCTCAGTGATGGCCGTATGATTGAGGCTGAGCTGACACAGCGCAAGAGAACCTGACTGCAGATACATCAGCAGACCTGCATCGCTTACTTTGGTCTGGTCCAGAGCCAGGAACGTCAGACTGCGCAGTCCTGAGATCAGACACAAATAAGATGATGCACTTGTTCATGATAATAATCACTTATGGACTGGTTTCTGACACGCTGTCTCACCTGCAATATGCTGCAAACAGCTGTCTGTTAGTTTGCTACAAGACGACAAGTTGAGATGCTGAAGTTTGGAGAGGTTGGACAAAACAGAAAGACCAGCGTCTGCAAAATGAAACAGGAAATGATGATTTCACAGCTTTACAAATCATGTACAAACAAATCAAGCCAATAATAAATATAAATGTATGTGTTCCATTCAAAGGGCATTAAAGTGTGCGCGATGTGAATTTACACTGGATTTATTTACTGAGGTTTATTATGTCACATTTTACAATTCTCTAGTAAGTTTGGTCTGTGTGTGAAGACGCTGCAGGCTGTGGTGCAGCGCAAATCCATGAATGAATGTTCTGAAGTGAAGAAAATTCAACGGTTTTCCCCTGCTCAGAGAGTAGGGAGCAGTGAACACTGTGTAGGGAGTCTAGGGACCCTGTCAAGCATGGAGCTGGTTATCTGAATCAGGTATGTTAAATAAGAGAGACATGCTAAATATGCAGAGCGGTGGTACGCGAGGACTGGAATTGAGAACCACTGCTATAAGAATGTACTAAGATTTATTGTTAATTGTATCATATTCATATTTCATATTATTAAACATTATTTTACTTGGCAATAATAATAAATTCTTAAATTATATAGTATTTTTAAAATAAATATTAAAACCTAATTTTCCTTTATTATTTATTATATAGCCATTTAATATATTTTTAACATTACAGTAATACAATTTTTTTTTTTTACGTTACAGTAATGAGAATTTTTGGCTACTTATTTGGGCTATATATACAGTGGTGTGAAAAAGTGTTGGCCCCCTTCCTGATTTCTTGTTTTTTTGCATGTTTGTCACACTTTAATGTTTCAGATCATTAAACAAATTTAAATATTAGTAAAAGATAACACAAGTGAACACAACATGCAGTTTTTAAATGAAGGTTTTTATTATTAAAGGAAAACAAAATCCAAAACTACATGGCCCTGTGTGAAAAAAATCAGGAAGGGGGCCAACACTTTTTCACACCACTGTACATATAATAGTCCTAACAAATAAATAAATAAATTTCTTGACTGTTCTGGTGAAAAATCTCACACCTGTGATGAGTGGAGAGTTGACAAAGCTGAGATGTTTGAGGCAGGAAAACGCCCTCAGTTGCCGCAGCAGCTCATTGGTGGTATACGGGTAGCAGTTTAGGACGAACTTTTGCAGCGGGCAGCCAAAGAACAGCTCCAGCGTACGTGGTCGAAGGAGACGTTCACGTGCCATATGAGCCAACAAGAGTTCGGCCAGCTCTGGAGTCAAACACGCCAGGCTGCTGCTGTACTGCATGCTGGGAGCTGAAAGAGCAAGATTATGGTCAAATTGTCCTGAGCACTCATGTAATCAGCAAACAACATTAGGCGGTCTCTTTCTGACCTGTCATGAGGGAAACGGTGGCCCTGGTGGCCATCGAGCAGAGAGGGGGCACGCGGGGGGTCTTGAAGGCTTTTTTGGGGGGCGACGGATGCCCGTGTGGTGACGGCTGCTCGTCGTGATGGGCGGCTCGCTGTAAACGCTCTACCGCTGCTTGACCCGCAGCTCCACGCAACACACGGCCTTCCTCAGGGTCTGCTGGGTCATCAGGCTCCGCCCCCCTTCAACACACAACCAATTGTAGTCACTTAAAGGGACAGTCCACTCAAAAATTTCAATGCTGTCATTATTTACTATCATCAAGCGGTTTTGGGCCCCACTGAAAAATATCTTCTTTTGTGTTGTTCAGCAGAAAGAGTCAAGTAGATTTGAAACAACATGAGGATGAGTAAATGATGACTGAATTTTCATTTTTGGGTGAACTATCCCTTTAAGGACAACGTATACTGCTTAAGTTTTCCAAATGCTAAGGCAAACATATGTAACATTTTATTTAGGAAACAAATCGATCAAAATTCAGAAACCAAAACAACTGAAAGCAGTGATGTCACTGTAATGATGTCATGCTTAATTGCAAAAGGTTTTTCTTTCTTACATTTATTGACATGCTGAACGGTGATCTTTTTATAAAGCTCTCACTAATTAGCCCTTAACTTCACACCCTTCAGGACCTTTAGAAATCGTCCTACCGGAGTCTGTTGCCCTGCTCCGGCCAGTGATGTCTCGGCTCCAGTCCTGCTCTTCCCCTGTTCTCCAGGAAGAAGGGCAACCGTGGCAGTCCTGTCAGAGTGAGAGGGAGATTATCTATAAATTGTATTGATTATTTAGATTTTTATACTTTTTTTTTAGCAAATAGTTAAATATATATACAGCACATATATACATACATACACATATACACACACATATATATATATATATATATATATTATGTGTATATCACTTTTTAAGATTGCAAAAATTATACAAAAAAAATTCTATAAACCTTGAAGATTGTATTAATTTCTGTAACTATTCCAGGCCTGGAAATCACAATTTTAAAATTCCCTGATATTTCCAGGTTTTTCATTACTGAGACTAGACATTTTAAAGAGCAGTTTACAACAATTTACTTGCATGATCCATAAGCACATCAAGCAAACAAATTAAACAAATTGCATCTTGCTACTACCAAATTAACCAAGCATTCAATTACACAGCCTCAATATCAAAACAGTTGCACTGGAACTAACTGCATATTAAGCTAATTACCATATATTAGCATGTTCACAGGCCTGCCTGCTAAACCAATCCAGCTGCAGTTAATTCCTGCGTGTCTCACGTGTGCAAATTAACATATGATTGTCTTCACAGCATCTTAAAACGTTGTCCAAAGCTGTCAGCTGCTTTCATTCCCAGCGTGTCTGAAATCCCCGCATTAAACTTCCAGCGAAAAGAGCCGATTTATGGAACATATGCAGTTATAGCACACGAGAGAACAGACTTGCTTGGTAGTAGCGAGTTTTATCATTTGAAAGAGGTGAATGGGTTTTTACTTATAACCGGGTCTAAACTAGGACAACTAAGAGCATTAACCTCTTACCCACTATGGACTTCCCCGAGTTTCTCACACTTTGGTCACTCGCTAAAGTGACCTAAAAGACCTAAAAACTCAAGGTTACTGAACAAAGATCTATGATTCAGACTGACCTGAGCACAGCAGTCCAAAGGTAGCAATTCTGTGATAGCTGAAGATCAATAAACTACGCTATCCGATCAGTTATATTTCAGAGAACACAAAACTTTCCCCTAATGTTAGCTTTAACGTTCCAGGAATGTTCTTTTTAGGTTTTATTTTTAAACAATCAAAAACGAACATTCCCAGAACGTTCTGGGAACCAAAGTTGGGATGAGACTGCATCTATATGATCTAATGTTTTAGTCATGCATGCAGTTCCATTTACTTCATAAACAAAGTTTTTGCAGAATCGTGAACAGTGACCTTCAGTGAGAGCAGATAAAGCTCCAGTTCTTGAATGTTTTGAAGGATTCTCTGTGATTAAAGCCCTTGAAGGAATGTTGGCAGACTGTCCATTCATTACCATTCCAGTCCTCCTTTATGAGATTATGGCCTTTTCTGATTCAGTTGAGTCCAAAAAGCAGCGGCTTTTTAGTCCGTTCCAGACTAACAGATATCAACATCTTTTGTTTACAGTCTCATCAGGAATTCCCTCTGATCGTGGCCTGAAGTGCTCGTTTTATCTTTGACGGTTTTTGGAGTTTCATCCAGATCGGAGTTGACTGTAATCAAGCCAATTCTAATTATTATGTTAATTGTGATGATTTAATTACTGAGAAATGAGAAATTCATTTTCACACACATCTTATTCATTATTAATGGTGCTGACTAATGCAAGCATCACTATTATTAATGCTCATACTTAAGCAAACCCCAAACCTCAAATATTAAACTTCAGCACTCAACTCTTCCTGCAACTGTGCTGAAACATGAATAATACCTCAAAATGATGTGGCTATAACTTTTCTAAGCAATCAACCATATTTTTGCCTGGCAAACAATAAAAAAGGTTGGGAAAATCTCACAGATTTAGAGGGGAAGGAGGAGGTACCTGAGCCATAACTAGAGTCCAGAATACCATAGAGACTTTGGACTCTTTTTACCCACCCTGAACAAACTAGCAAACGCCTAGAACACCCTAGCAACCATATAACAACACCCTGTCAAAAACTATTGTGAAAGTAAACCGTTATATACCATTGAGATTAAATGGAGGTACAACTACTTCTTCTGGTTGCTCCTCATTTTCCAAATGTTCTTCATTTTCTGCTTCACCTTGCACCAGTTTATGGCCTCGTCCTGTCAGAAGCAAAAGTGTAATAACACAATATTACTTGCATTGAAGTAAAGTTTGGGAAGAGCAGGGATTACTATCGTTAAAGGGGTCATCGGATGCCCATTTTCCACACGTTGATATGATTCTTTAGGGTCTTAATAACAGAGCATTCATCATTAAACTCGCTAACTAGCACATTATTAGGAAAGGCGATTTGCAAAGATTCATTCTAAAAACCTTACACTCACTTCTTCTGGAGGTGAAGCTGGATCACGAATGATTCACGCAAAGATAGATGCATTTAGGCAGATTGGGGGCGCATTCCTTTCACAAACAAACATAATCCACTGTGTCTTCAGCGGCTCAGATGTCGGGAGTAAATGACGACTGCTATGGTCATTATTACATCCAACAACAAAACACTTCAATCGCTTAGGAGTCATTCTTGTCTACATCTGCTCCGGCGGTGAAACAATGGCGAAGCTCACTCAGGGCGGGTCTAAGGTAAGACACCAGTCCAGTCTGTGCTGAAACGCTACTGTCAATAAAACTATCGTGTGAGGGGCCTTTCTGTGTGACGTCACACAGACAGGCATCTGAGATCAGCTCGATTTGAGAAAGGGGTAAAAATTTTTGTAGATGAACAAAAAACCACTGGGTGGATTTTTATCATTATAGGGTGGTTGTGTACACACACTGCCAACACACATTTCAGTTCAAACAACTTGTAAAAGTGCAAGTCACATCCGATGACCCCTTCAACTAAAACTAAAAATACTGAAAACATTTTTGTTAATTCAGGTAAAGCTGAAAATAAAATAAAATATAATAAAATATTAGATGAAATACTTGTAATAATGGAACTAAATCTGTTATAAAAATAAATTATAACTAAAATAAATAAATAAACTTAAATATTAAGCAACAATAGGTAATAGGTAATTTATCATTTTTTATCAAGTTAAACTAAAACTATTGAAGCATAAACATAAAAACATAAAAAACATAAAAACTAAATAAAAAAAAACAAAATGGAACTAAAGCTGAAATAAAAATAAATTATAAAATAAATAAACTTAAAATTTAAGTATCAAGTAATATATATATATATATCATTATTTGTTTTTTTTAAATAATCAATATTTAAAAAAAAAACGAATAAAAATTACAAAAGCACATAACAAAAATAACTAAAAACAAGCTAAAACTGAAAATATAAAAATAAAAGTCAATAGAGTGTTGCAGTCTTGACATTCAAATCTGCCACTGGATTCCCACAAGATTTTCCTATGATTTTTCAATTTATGGGTGTGGCAAATATAAATTGACGATACGTTTTGCAGTCACGGCTGCAGCACTCAAAATATTACATTCAAAATATTAATAACTAGAAAATAAAAACAAAATGGAACTAAAGATGAAATAAAAATAAATTATAAAATAAATAAACTTAAAATTTAAGTATCAAGTAATATATATATATATCATTATTTGTTTTTTTTTAAATAATCAATATTAAAATACCCCACTGCTTCCTCCCACAGCTGATGGGGCAGAGGTGGAGGTATCTCCAGTTCCTCTAAAGCTCTGGCCTCCACTTGGGGTTGCTCATTCGGTGGTGCCACCGGCTCTTCCTGTGGCTCCGGCTCCGGCTCCGCCTCCTCCTGCCCTACAACAGCCAATCGGGACGCTGGACTAGGCGGGTCCTGAGGCGTTTCTGGGGGTGTGGTCTGTATGCAAAGTGCAGCGTTGGGAGTCAGTCCCAGAGACCGGAGGGAGCAGGTTAGCTCAGCTTCCCCAAAGCGCTTTCGAGGAAACCCTTGCAGGAGGGAAAAAGCAGGTAGTGAAGGGTGGCGGCCGGCAATGTATTCGACGACGTGACTTAAGGGAGTGTCAGCAGGAAAACGCTCACGCATTGATTCTCCAGACGGAAGACGAATCTATAACAGACACAAACAAAACAGACAGGTTTGACTTCATGCGAAATAACGCTAACAGCAGTTGTTAGAAAGCAGTGGAAAAAAGATGTGATCTTGCACCATAAGGATGCAGTGGTTGTCCAAGCTGGTCTCTACACGTCCACCCAGTCTCTGTCCCTGTCCACTGGATGGAGAGGTCTCGGCCGTGGCTTCGTTTTGGGTCTTCTCCTGCTGACTGCGCCGGTCCTCTGCTATCCTCTTCAATACCAACTCACGCTCCTGATGAAAGGACAAACCGTTACTGAACTGGGAACCAAAAATGATCTTGTAGAGCATGAAACTGTGACAGTTGATGGAGCAAAAACACAGATATATATTTTAAAATGTAATATTTATATTTTAAAATATAAAATGATCAAATATATTATGTTTATATTAATTATATTAACTGTATTATAGAATAAATGATAATATTTGACAATAATTCTATTAATTGACTAATATATATATATATGTAGTCCTTTTTGAGCTTATATATACACTGAACAAAATTATAAACGCAACTTTTCACACACACACACACTTAAAATAATATCTATCATGTATATATCTATAAATATAACATTATTATACATGTACATATATTAATTAAATTAAAATAAAATAACAATAAAATAACAAATTAAAATACACATTAAAATAATAAGCTTATTATTAATATTATTATTATTATCTTACTATATACAAAGAGAGGTATCAAATTTATTAATTATGTTTTAAAGTATTTACTCTTCTCTCTACAGTCTTTTAATATAAATTCTCTCTCTATACAATTGTCTTTTAATAGCACAAAAAAGAAAAAATACTTAAAAAAAAAAAACATTACTAATATTTTAAACAACCTTTTTAAACAGCCACTGGTCACCAATTTTGTTGTATTTAAAAGAACAGATTTTGTGTTCCACAGAAGAAATCATGAAATGACGTGGGCGTGAGTAGATTCATTTTTGAGAGAAGCAACCCTTGCTTATGGAGCTTTATTGTAAGAACATGAACCCTTTCACTGATTCACCTGCTTCTTCTGTCTCTTTTCTGCCCGCGCCTCTTGGGCCACTCGCTGCCTCTGCTGCTCGTGGAAATTACTCTTATCCTGCTTGATCCGTGTTTCCAGGGGTGGATGCTCTTTTGCTGTGGGAGCGTTCACAGAAGGTGGTGCCAAGACCAATGAAGGACCTAAAAGCAGAAAATTCCTCTGTATTAAATAACATTCCAGATTCCAGTATTAAAGTACTGCTAATGATCTGCAGCACACCGAGCACAAAATCACATGACCTGTGAGTCACATGCAAGTTTATTTGCACAGTAAATCACATTTTCCTTCCCAGAAGAATGTTGACACTCTATTGAAAGAAGTCTGTTTGTGTCATACAAATGAGTAATTTAAACTGTGCTGTTAGTACCTGTTTCGTCAGGCTGTGAGTTGTTGTTGGAGCAGAGAGCATCTTTGGGAGGGTTAAATGCAGAAAATGCCGTCTCTAAAGGACCTGAAGGCTGCTTGACTAGTTTATGCCGTGGACTCCCACCCTGCAAAAGCCTTCAGCACAAATGTGAGAATAAATGAGAGGGCTGGTGCTTAATCATGAACAATGCTGTCTAATAACAACACTTTCAATATTCCCTAAAGCCATTGTATATAACAAGACAGGTTTATGACTAGCCTAAGCTATTACATAACCGGCCACACTTTTTTTCTCTTGGGATAAAAGCTTATTTCATTATTTTCATCCATAAAAACATGTACCATTCAGCTGCTTCTGGTACAGAGAAGAATCCGGCCTGCATCGCCGCCTGTATCTGATCCTCACTGAAGCCCATCTCAGTGAGAGTGCTGACGAACCCTCCTATGGTCTAGAAAACACCACAACAATATGAGCTCCAATGCAAAGGTATTCAAAGGAAGGGGACTTTGCTTAAATAAGATCATTTTGATTTCACATTTTTGGAGATGATATTCACATACTTCCACTTGTGTTACTTCAGAATTTTTAGGACAAGTCAACTAAAAATTAATTTCAATGGATGAATTTAATAATAATAATAATACATGCATACATACACACACACACACACACATTTTGTATTAATGTTTGTAATTTTTCATCATGAATGGAATTTATTATATATATTTTTGTATTCTTTTTTGTAATGTGTATATATATATATATATATATATATATATATAAAATTTTATATTTCATCATTTAATATTTCACATAAAAATTACACTTCATAAGATTGTACTTCCATATATAATAAAATAATATAATATAGAATATAATAAAGAATCCTGTTTTAAGCCTGCTTTAATGTAGTCATTGACATTCATGCATTTGGCAGATGTTTTTATCCAAAGAAACTTAAAATGTATCAAATGAGTATATTTTATTTATAACACATCTCTAAATAAAAGATGTAGATGCAATCAGCTCAAATAAAGAAAAAAAGGTCTGTTTAACATGTGAAGGTGATGACATGTTCAGAACAAACATGAACACTTCTCATACTCATAGCATTGATCATGCACACTGCACTGCAATGCTGTCATCACGGCTATCACATGATTTCACAGGGGACTTTGCCCTGATACCTTGCGACAGTTTGGTTTCTTTTTCTGTTCATGCATTCTTGTGGGACATCAAAAGTGCCATATTTGATATAAGTACAATATTTGAATATTAGCAGTGTCTCCATTTGATCAGGATTGACGTTAAGAGCATGCATTAGTTCGCATGCAAATATGATTTATTTCCATATTGTTTTTATTTCATTCTAATCATGTTGCCCAGTTAGAGTAGGCCAAGACAATTCAGTTTTAACTACCTGACGAACACTTAAAACACCTAAAAAGGTGAAATGTTTATATTATCTGATTGCATCGGTCATTATTCTATATTTATTTGACAAGGCAATGAACATGCATGCAAGAACAATCACTCATTTTTCAATGAACGTCTCAAGAGGCTTTCCTTCTGACTTAGGCCTACTGTTCATTCCCTCGTAATCTTAAAGAGTTACAGTAACAATGCCTGTATAACTAAAAGCATCATGAGACAATAATAAAAGGTTGTGCATGATGCTGGACTACAGAAACTTAATTCACTTGTCACAGTTTATCACGTTTTATCCATGTCGTGCAAGCTAATATAGCAATGCAATAAGCTTTACAAAAACATTACGACCGATTCTGATTAACCATAGGTTTCTCTTACCGCTGTGGAGTCCATAATTGTATTTAATATCTCAAAAATGCTCGATATATGGTTTTGTTGTCACTTTGCAGAAGATGTTTATTGATTGTCCGCACAGTAGAATGGTGATCGCTTACGTCACGGGTTCTGCTCCGTCCAGACTGCACGCTCAACGCTGATTGGATGACTGACAGTTGGAAACGCCCCTTAAGGACATGTCAATCACAGCTCGTCCGGATAAATTTAAAGGAGCAGGCGCGTCTCTACCCAATAGACTTCATTAACATTTACTAAAGCGTTCATTTTAGACCGTCACTTAACCAAAAACAATTACAGTTTGTCCACAAAAACAACTAATTTCTTTGTCTGTGGGTTTTATTTTATTTTTGACATGCAATAAGTATTATTGGCCGGCAGATGTCATATTTGGTCAATAAGGGCATGAAACTAAAATAAATAAAATATAATGATAAAATAAGAAATAAATGTTCTTTTCCAACAAATTGTCAGTGAAAGGAGGTGCTTAACATTTACAAATGTCACTCTAGGAATTGAAACTTAATTTTATATTAGCCATTAGCCAACAAAGAGTTCCCATAAATTAAAGAAAAATAGTTGTTTGTATATTTTTAGTTAGTTGTTTATTAATAGTTGTATATAAGGTGTACCGAATTCGTGGAATGTGCAATTTAACGTGTGGATTACAATAAATGAATTGTTTCAGTTCTGTCCTATTAGTTTGTTAGTTTACCCGACATGCGTTAATTTCAAATACAGTCATTTTTAAGCATCATTGCTATTAAACCATGTCATTGCGCTTTTATAATTTAAACTAGATATAAAGTTGCAAAAATTAAATAAAAGGTTGGCTTTACGTGCATCTCTTTTGACGTGTGCATTCATGCATACAGTGTAAATAAAACCCTGGAGAACCTTTTTTTTCTGAAAAGGGAAGGAGCTCCTCAGTCAGTCGAGATGTGTATGACACGCACGCGAGCGTCAGATGTGGCTCATCAGTGAGGAGGGGAGATCGGCTGAGGTAGGACGCATTTCAGACATGTTTAGGCTTTTATACACTCATATACGAACAGACTGTGAGCAGCATCAAGAGTTCTGTTCGTGTCGGCCAGGTATATCTTGTCCGGGTGCGTAAAAAGTGATTTTCTGACTGGATTGTAAGCACGCACGCGCGTCGGCGTCAGTGATCGGTTAGCTCGCGCTAGCTCTCAGATGAAATAAAGAACTATAAACCGGGAAATCTTAAATGAACATGGGCTGAGAAAACGGCGTTCTGTGGTGATGAAGCCGTGTGCTTCCGTCTCCTGGGCTTGTTTGTGCGAGTCGTGGTCGCTGAACTGCTGTCAAACTAACGCGAGTACACCGACATAATCATAAAAGCCCACTGCCACGTGACACGCGGGGAAAATACTCCGCGCCGAGTTACAGAAACACCGCGGGAAAAAGGAACTACAGCAAGTCGTCCAGTGACCTCATTTATATATAGAAGTTGGATACAGACACCGTTTATATATTGTCTGGAAATATTATATTGATATTTCAGTGTGTGTATATATATATAAAATCAATCTAGAAACTGCACCTGACTTTCTGTCTTGATTTTTTTTCCGTCCATTTGTTGTCAGACGTTGTTGTCAGATTTTATACCATATATATATATATATATATATACACACAAACACATATATAATAGTTAACATAATAGTATATAATAAAAATACATTATTAATAATAAACTATATTTAAGGAAATCTCATGCTGGAAATTTTGTGGTATATATATATATATTTTTTTTTGTTATAGTTTTTCCTGTGGCGAGTTAAATGATCACAAAAATGACTAGTAAAAGTTAATATCAGTCTAGAAATTGCACCTGACTTTCTGTCTCCATTTTTATGATTTTTTCCCCCTCAGTTTTTTGTCAGACGAATGGCACAATCATTTGTTTATAAACCTGGAATCTTTAAGCTGTTGTGGTTGGTGTGTGCTTGTTTCCAGAGGTCAGCTGGATTTAGGTCAGATCAGTGTTGTAAAGCCATCAAGGAGTCAGATTTCTTAGAGGAACAAAGCACTGACTTGGTGGAACCAGTACCTGCCAACTTTAATTTGGCAGCTTTGCCTTAGTTTTTGTAGTGTGATTAAGGCATAATGCCAGAGGCCAGCAAATCGGTGTAGAACCGCGAAGAAAGAAATATCTTTGTAGCTCTTTCTCTATCTGTGCTTATCAGAGCATGACTGATATTTCAACCTTCTTTAGTAATACAGTGAAGATGGAATGCCATTTGTAAATTTTTAGCTGCTTGTTTATGTAATTAATTTTTATTTAAACAGGATGACATTATTAGAGAAAGATGCAGTTATTTATTAAATCTGTTTGATTTTTCTTAGTGGACCGTTTTCATCTGATTTACCTCCTGCGGATTGGTTTTACAAACTCTAGACTTTAATTTAAAAAAATAGTAATGATATAATGAAATAAGCTTTATTCCTGCTAGCGTTCCGATGCAGATCAGCTGCATTTTCCTGCGGGGTCAAGGATATTTTCAAAAGTCCTGCATTGCGCTTTCGTAATTGTCTGCCCAGCTGGTGACGCTAATCAGCTGAAAAATATTTTTAAGGCCGTTGTTCTCACGTAGACCACGATATTACAAATCTGACACGACTATTTTGCAAATCGGTCCGCCTTGGGTAGCGTGACTTAACACTTGATCAGGGGCTCCTGTGTGGTTTTTACGGTACTGTATTTCCCAGGATATGTGTTACTGTATTCGCTTTGTCGTGAGCCGGTTCAATATTTCATTGAGATTGTTTGTTTTGGTGTGGCTCAAGGTATGAATGACAGTGTTCCTCTGGTCAGGGCTTGCTTTGTTGGGTTTGTTCGCTGCTGTCATATTACAAAGACATGATTGTCCGCTCCAAGTTAAACACAAAGAGTGTGAGAACTCAGGTGGAGCTTTTGTGTGTTCGTAACCCGAGTCTGTGAAACCCCTGCTGACCGGTGTGCAGAGAAAAACACCTTTAGAGAGCTGTCCCAGGGCTGTTTAGTCTTGAAGTGATAATTAAATAAGCTTAGTTTGAGTTTCACCTGTGCTCCTGTCGTTTCTCTCTTGCACAGCATTAGAATAATTCGTAAACACTTTTTTTTGGTAGCGCAACACTTGCATCTTGCATTTTGCATTTGGTATATGAAGCTGTAAAATCATGTAGGACTGAAAAAAATTTAAATCTGTTAAACTGCATTCAAGGAATAGTTCGCCTAAAATGTAGGTAGCGCAACACTTGCATCTTGCATTTTGCATTTGGTATATGAAGCTGTAAAATCATGTAGGACTGAAAAAAATGTAAATCTGTTAAACTGCATTCAAGGAATAGTTCGCCTAAAATGTAAATTCAGTCGTCATTTACTCACCCTCATGTTGTTTTTCTTCCATGGAACACAAAGGGAGAATATTTAATGTCTGATTTCCATGCTGTTTTCTGTGAAATTGCAAAGAACTGGGAATGAATCCTTCAAGCTTTAAAAATGACATGAAAGCATCTTGGAAAATAGTTCAGAAATGCAAGTCACTTTTCCGGTTAGAGTTCGAACAGATCAGATCAGTCATGAACCAATCATTCAGTTTGATTTTGTGAACTGGATCAACCAATTCACTGAATAGATAGTCAAAATAATAATAATAATGTTTACCCAGCTTACAACGTCATTGATATCAATATTTTTAGTGAATTTCAGTTGGTCACACAAAGCATTGCATGGCTTCATAAGAAATGGTTTTATTGTACTTTTATTTCAGTCTGTTGTTGTTTTTTATGGCATCTGAATGTTTTTTTGTTCTTTGTCTTCCACAAATGAAAACAGAATATATTATTTAATATTTTCTTAAAATTTATTATAAACATTTGAAAAAGTAAGTAGATTTTTTTTTTTTTTACTTTCTGTTAAAGTTTTAGGAAATTTGTGTGTGTGTTTTTCTTTATTTTCGTTCATTTATTTATTTTAAATTTTTATAATGTCTATCCACCTTATTTTTCCCGTAAGAGCGGGCACGACCATGTAAATTTTATGGGTCTGACTATTTTTAGCTGTACAAAACAGCTCCTTTTGCTGCTTGATATTGCAAATTGGTGTGTCTTACCATATTATTTGTATATTAATTATGATCACACTGGTTTGTAGTGCAAACAGTTTTACCGTTTACTGCACGTTGTTATTCTTCTCGTTATTTCC